AATTGTGAAGTATTCTAAGATTTTTTTAATAACATTTTTGTTAATTTATTTTTCCAAAAAAATTGCATGTGAATAACATGACAATTTAGATAGGAATTTAACATTATAAATAAAATGAATGTATCATGTGTCTTTAAACACTAGTAATATATAAATAATAAAATAAATTTTTAATTTTTCTTCTTATTTATTTTTAAAGTTTTTAGTTTTGTACATACATTTTATATTATACCCTAATACTTGGAAGTGCACATATTATTTTGTTTTAATCATTTTGAATGGTATTGATATTAGAATTTGCTATAATATTTGTTTTATAAGGTAGAGCTTTTGTTAATTTACGCAACTTTAACACAAGTATATTAAAAAAACAGAATTATTTTTAAACAATTAGGACTAAATTTTTGCTGTTAACAAATTTCATTACTTCCTGTACTCTTTATCATGGTTGGTAGCTATCCCGAGAATGTACTTAATGGAGGCATTATCTTTCACTTAGCCTGCAGTTACTGATACACAAATTATACTATTAAATAAATAATCTCTACTTACAATATATCTACTGAAGTATTTTAAAGCTTATTTATACATGTTACATATTAATTATAAACCGTTGTTTTCATTTGAAGTTATTCTATTATTATGATCTAATTAAAGTACATAATAAAAGCTCAACATATTTATTACAAAATTTATTTTTCAAAGTATATTTACCTTTAAAAAATAGACATTCCAATAGTGAGGTAATATCTAATGAGAACATTTTTCAAGTCCGCAAATATTTAGGCTAAGGTAAAACAAAATCTTATTTCAGGTATTCTAACCCTCACCCACTGACACAAATCTATTGAGTCATTTATGTTTGCTCATCTTCAGCTATTTTAAGAAACATTAAATGCGCGCCCGAAAATCGCATAAGAAAAATGGATTTACGCCAAAAGGATAATAAAGTGACAGAAAACAGCTATCACCGGACGACGCAATGCTAAAGGAATGCACGTAATGCAGCAGATACGGCACAAAGCTTTTTTATTTTATTTTATGAGACCCAATTATTAAGGTTTTTCATAAAGCGGATATTTAATAACAGAAAAATATATTTTCGCTATAGTTATATCGACTAATTTAATATTAAATACAAATATAGTAAAGTTTAAGTCAAAACTTACGCTTTTAATTTTGTGCACTACATAAAAATAAATAAGTTTAAACTTCACACACGTTCACTGTGTACACCACTGCACTGCAATCTGTCAAGTTGTGGATAAAAGTGTTGCTAGACTCTGCAATGTTTTTCCCAATATATTTTAAGGTTTATAACAAATATAAATTATGAATAATGATTTCATTTGCTTATATCTATTTGTTTTACGAAATCTATTATTTTGTATTATTGCGAGTGTGTAGGGAGTGTTATTTTTGAGTTTTTAATAATAAATGCAAATCAATGTTGCCACGATAGAAACCAAAAATTTCCACATTTTGCACTCGACAGTTTTCTTTGCCAGCTGAGAGGTTCACGTTACCTACCTTTTATTATTATTAGCGGTGACTAAAAATAGGTCAAATATTTAAAAATGCTCGCTGGCACGCATCGCGGTCCTAAACAGTTGTAATCACATCGCAGGAGTCGAGTGGAAAATGCGAGAGGACCCAATTTAAACTCTTTAATTATATTGACGCACTTTTATACGAGCCAAAGTTCCAACACGTACAATTTTATGTAAACCTCGAGCTAACAACAAAAGAACTAATTTTAAAATTGTTTTATCTAAAATTATAAAGTTATTGATGCTATGCTATTTTTCAATAATAAAAAAGTGAACGTACTTCTACTATGTAATATGTTATATATTTAATTAAGAAGCATGTTATAAAATAAATTTTAATAATAACAAAATACACAGAATTCTGAATTACCGCATAGCTTACAAAAGTTATCAGCTGTGTGCTGTGTTGCCATGTAGGTAAGCAAAGGAAAAAAAAAGTAAAGTTCAACGCTCTTGAGGGATCAGTACGAAGAAAATTAAAATAAGAAAGGTTCCATAAACCTGGTTAAAAATTTTATGGGGCGTAATTTCCAAAATGTTACACTGTAGGTTTTATGACTTGTTTTATTTTGAACTGCATATTTCATTTCCACTGTCTCGGTAATAGCATTGTGTTTTGAGCATTTTAAATGAAGTAATAATGTTAACATTTCATACATCCCAAACTTAATTTTCCTTTATTTTATATAATATCTACTACTATATAGTATAGTAAGTACACACTTATAAAATAAAACAGCGAAGGAACAGTAAACATTTTTATTTTATTGTAAATATTATTTATTGTATCATCTGACACTCGCGATGATCTTTATGAATTTGAAGCTAAAACTCAAGGATTATTGATTTTGATATAACATTATAGCACTTAAAGTTAGGCACATGTTTTTACTAATATCTGGAATAGAACTTTTAACGAAATTGATCATTTTTTTCAACTTTTTTACGTTGGAGAATTTATATTTAAATAAAAGTGGATGAAGTAATGTATCGTTATATTCTGTTAAATTAAAATTAAAAATATATTATTAATATTTTTAATTTGTGATAATTACTTAAAAAAATATAGTTCAATATACTAAATAGCAAATTCAAGGGATTATTTTAACTGTTAGCCATTTTAGATGTTGGCAATTTAAATTTATGGGTCGTTCCAGAAGCATCCAATTATATATCATAGTCGCAATAAAGGTTTCTATTTCAGATGTTAGCAAGTTGCTAACATAGACACTCACTATATTAATACAAGTCGGCCCAATGATGGCTTAGTTGTCTCAATTAAAAGTTGTAAAATATTTCTAGTTTGCTTATTAAGAGCGAAAAGAGGCACCTAACCGTAACCATACAGTAACTCTTTATTTTATTGTTTATTTAACAACATGTTAGTATGAGAATGCGAGAACACTTTAAAGCCGTCACTGTGTTAGAGCAAATCAAGCTTATCCCATCGCGAGTCATCCCATGTGAAGATTTTACAAGCAATAACTACGTCTATGTAACTTCAGTCGGCTCATTAATGCACTTATTCTACACTTCCATCCATTGAGCTTTACCTAATTATGAGTGAGATGAAAATACCAACTGTACAGAAATCAATAACATTTATCAAAAAAATAAGCAGATACACTGAGATATATTTCTATTTAAATTAACAAAAAATATATTGTAAGCTGGCATATAGGTTAAATTATACCATTAAATTGAGAACTGAATTCGGAAAGGTCGTGTAAAGAGTTAATGCAATAAATGAGCGATATTTTGTACTGTGTTAAGTGAGCTATGATATTTTGGTGCTAATATTCTTAAGTGTTCCTAAAGTGAAAGTAATAGTAATTTTAGATGCAAGTGGTTACAGACACTCGGACACTACATAAAATTTAATTATAAAAATTATGATTGAAGATTATATTACATTAATTATACGGCTTTGTATCACATGTAATTAAATAATCTAATGGTTAGATGAAGATTTATCGTATGAAAGTGAAAACGATTGACTTTGTTGACTTGACTGGTTCAGGACTTATTTCTACACCTCGCAAGCCGTCTTCGAAATGTCTTTTTAAGGCGAGTCAGCGCAAACTAACCTTTTAAAGTTATAATTTACCTAAAACTTTAAAATTGTCAACTAGTTGTTTAAAATTTGTATTTTAGTAGCGTAGAAGAATATTTTTGTTAACAAATATAGTTAGTAGTATTTTTTATATAAAGTTATAGTTACCTAAATATTTCAAGACTACTTCAAGGTAAAGTGACAAGTCTAGTGCCGAATAGACTTTTATAAGAAGAATCTAAAGAACATTCGAGCTATAGAGATCCTACGTCAAAACAGTTTCTAATCGATGTCATTATTTTTGTAAAAATTGCAATATTTTTAAAATGGCAACAACTTCATGTTCCGGAAGCCGCCTATATTTTACTGTCATTTCATTTTCGCGTAATTTTTACAAAAAAATTGAAATTAGCGTCATCGACTCATCCTTAGGTTGAGGTATTACTACAATAATGAACTGGCCAATAATTAATAGGTAACGTTATTATATTAGAAAAATATGTATTACTTTTAGTTTAGAAAAATTTGCATTGAAAACTGCACTACAATATCCTACAGTACCTAACACTCGTAAGTTAAGAGGGAATATGAGGCTTATCCATGTATATTTTTTTAAATATTTTATTTAATAACACATTAATTTTGACAAAAAAATTAAAAGAAAATTGAAAGAATAAGATATTTTTTTTTTAAATTATTGATTTGAAAATTGAAGTGCATCAAAGTTTTAGAGATTTCGCTTTATATAGCATTATTCTTGACTTAAAAAGCAGATAACAAACAAAATACATGCACAATCATTAACATGCGTAAGCCTCTTACGAAATAGGACAGAAATATATAGAAAAGTCCAAGCCGAGAAGAAAAATAGTGTCATTTTGAAACAACTGTGGCCGTTCAACAATTTCCTGTCCTTGGTACATTGCCGACTATTATATTGTAGGTAATTTGTAAATATTTTTATATTATATGCCTCCTCATAATAATACTTGCACAAAGCGATATGTTTCCTTATTGTAACATTGTGTTTACATGTAATAAGTACATACCTTTTCTATAATATTTTTTTCTATATCGTTCGTGTTATCAAATACTAACCTTAATATACACATCTAGTATATGTAATTCGCCCCAAAAGAATAATGTCACTAACTGTACATAAAGCTTTTTATAAAATAAAATCTAGACTTCGTTTTATACTAGAATTCTAAGCTACACGCTTAAATTTAAATGCCATTTTGTTGTGATGACAAAATGGCGGATTAACCATCGCATGCAACTGAATTTCATCACAGTAGAATCTTAACAGAAAGCATTTTGTCAAATTATTAATCACATATCATTACATCAATAAGGGCAAATAAAAATACAATATTGATTGTGTGATCGAAGCGCTAAAACCAAGAAGATGCTCCGCCTAGCTTTGTTGACAGCTCGCCGATGCCGCGTCCAAACATATTGCCCATCTGAAATTTTGAAATTGTTTTTTATTCAATTCAATTCTCTTGAAACGTGCCAGTTTAGTTCACGTAAAAATATTTTTTTATATATTCAAGAACTATTTAGTTAAGAATTCAACAGATGTTGTCTTGTCCAAAATTTGAATTTGTAGGTACTAATGTGATTTTTGAGTTCATAATCGTATGATTAATATCACAGTCAGTTTGTCCAGGACATTTTTTATTTCATTTTTTTCTTAAAAACCTAACAGTTAAATTTTAGGTACTAACTTAAACTTAGGTACTAACTTAAACTCGAAACTTTAATCAATTACCTACCTACAAATATTTCTTCAGCATCATGGGCCTAATAGTAAAAGAGAAGGTAAGGAACCCAATTAAAACATAACTTAGTCATCTAATAATAGCATGATAATAACACTTTTTATTAAATTATTTAACTTCATGAATTTGACAGTAATAAAATGTTATTAGGAACTTTATATCAAGACATGGTTTTATTTCAAGGTTAAAGGACAATTTGGGAAATTTAGCAATAAACATTTCATTTTTATTTAGTTTTAGTCAAACATACAGTAACTACTTAGTACCAGATTAAATTTTTGGCCCAATTTTAAACTGTCTGGTTTGTTTGCTCAAACCATACAATGCTCATTATAGCACCATGTGCTACCATCTGGCATACAATATAAAAACTAAAATCAAATTGTCTACATTGTACAACAAAGTTCGTTTTATTGAGGCCGTGAATACAAATATAGATGGCGCTATATTGAAAAGTTTTATATAGAGTCAATTTACTCGTATTTAATAAAAATCTAAGTTAATTTACTGATTCACTAACACTTTCCATACTTCTATAGAGAATATAACTTCTATAGAGCTTTAAATCGTTGTGTCTAGAAGAATGAACGAAATGCACAAAAGTTCTTATATTATAACAAATGTAAAAGTTTAGAAGGGATGAAAACTCTTTCCTAAAGCTTCGGCCAATATTGCAGACAAGCTAACGTTTAAAAAATCCTAATTCATTTTTAATTTTCACATACAAAATATTAAATTAAATACAAAAAAATATATTTAAGGAAAATTGTTAATTAAAAATACTATACACCACCTTGCCGACTACAGCTCCGACGTTTCCTAACTTAGCGTCTTCAGTAAGTGACTCTAACTTTGACTTTCCACTTTTCGCGCCTTCTTCTGATCCGCCATCATCGCCACTACTGAAATTTATAACATCAATACTAAATAACATTTTAAATAAAATGTTACTTTGATTTTGGAATTGCTTTAAAACTTGCCATTCCTAATTCCGCCATTGGATAAGGTTTTTTTCTTAAAATATACATATACTAGCGACTCACCCTCGCTTCGCTCAATTTCGTCCCTAGCTTGCTTCCCAATACAAAGTTTCATCCCCATTTTCATTTGGATAAAAAGTATCCTATAGCCTTCCCAGGTTCTCAAACTATCTTCTTACCAAATTTCATCTAAATCGGTTCAGTATATCCAGAGATAACCTCCTACAATGTCACAAACTCACAAATTCACAAACTTACAAACTTTACCTCTTTATAATATTAGTATAGATAGTCGCCCAAAGCACTAGTGCTTATTTGGTCAAACTACCAATGCTTGTTGTACTCGACAATGGAGAGTCTTACCTCTATTTTAAAAACAAGGCTTTATTTTTAAAATTTATAAATAAAGAATTATTCAAGAACAACTTCTTTGCATGCATGAAAGTAAAATCCAAGGCTGCGTCATGAGAAATCGTCACGGAAAACCGATATGCCCGTGAGTGAGGCTTGCGTCAGATTCCGTTGTTATTTAGTCTGACAAATGATATACACATATATGATATTATTTCCGTTACTATATTCAAAGATTACTATTTTTACTAATTTGTTTTCACATATGCCTAGATATTTATAACAAGCGGCTCAAGTAAGAATCCAGCTAGATAGAAAGAGATAAAATATTGTTCTCTCCTCTTTGTGTGATATTCGTTTGTATCATATTTTTGTCTGAGTATAATATTTAAAGTTTTTATTAATCTTATAGATTTGAAATATATAAATATACGAGTAAATAACCAAAGAAGTTTCACTTTTAACACGTTTCCATAGAAACTTGACTTTTTTTTTTATTTATAAACATAATAATATTTAACCTGTATCTTTGCGGCTTTTTAAATGAAAATTGGTTTACATTAATAAAAAATTACAATAATAACTATGCAAACACAAATTGGCTAGTACATCGCGCATATTAGGTACAAATAACAATACACCCAAATTAGGTACCTCTTTTTAGAAATTGGTCAAAATATGGTTAAAGGTACATTAGTTAAAAAAATATTTTTTTATTTTTTAAATACAAAAAAAGAAATATAATTATTTAATTTTACAGCACAAAAATTGAGGGCACGGAAATGTATACGCCAAGTTCTAATATACATGTATTAGGTAGTAAATGTTTAGCTTTAAAGAAAATAGTTTTTCTATTAAGCGGTTTCATGTGTAATTGTAATTAAAAATATAAAGGAAATATACTTAAAAATTTAAACTTCACGATTAGTTATATGACGTTTATATTTAGGTATTATAATATGATCGTAATAAGATTAAGGTTAAAGTAAATTGTAATAGCAACGTTTAGTTTTGTACAAATTAATATATTTAATAAGAAATTAGAATTTAAAAGAACGAATTAATAATTACCCTTGATCTTGTTGAGCTAAAAGTAGACTGCAAGTGGCTTCTTCCGTATGCATTCGTCCTGCGACTTGTTGATAAATTTTAGAGTTGAGTTTATCATCTATTACTCCTTGCAATTCAAAGTCACTGTACATTTTCTGGAACATTTTGTTTTTTTTTTTTAATAAGCTTACATTTTATTTATTTTTAATATGAAAAATTAGAGCCTAAATTATACCTTAAGCACGATGGAAAGACAGGCAACCTGTTGCGGATGCAGGGCAGGTCTTTCACCCAACCACGTACTAATATGTCCAACTTGCACCCCATACCATTGTTCGAATAACTGCAGGATCCACAGCTCATCTGTCACCTGATATATGTATGTTTCAAATATATAAAAACTATATTTTGTGTTACTTTTGAAATAATATATTATTGTAATTCTGAAATAATTTTTGATACATGAAACAAATTATTAAGTAACATGTACACAAAATTTTTGGCTTACTTATTAACATTAATAACAAATATAATGTTACCTGTTTTCCTGTGGAACATTTATAAATAAATATTATGAAATATAGTGTTGACATAATATGTACTTAATATTCTAAAATATCAAGTTTTTCTGTACACATTAATTGCGATGGAATACATACCTTTGATCGAATTTGATCCATAGAGTTTCGCATGAAGTTAACATAGCCTTGACCTATATCTTTTCCAGAACCCGATACATTGGCGATCGTCAGAATGGATCCTATTAAACTGTAAATACACATACAATATTCTTAATATAATGTAATAAACTGTGTTAGTAGTTTTTTTCAAACGCTGCAAGCTTGTGTAATGTATGTTTGAATGTGATTGATGTTTTTCGCAAATTTTGTGTAGCAATTATGACTCAAGCTCATAATGTGTTTAGAGTGTTAGGTATTCTTAGAAACGGAACATTTAGTAAAAGTAATTTTAAATGTACCACCAGTAAACTTTAGTCTAAAAATTCCATATAAGTATTACGAATATTCGTGTAATAATTATATAGTCTTGTCAGGATATTAGATATATACAATTATGTATGTATGCATATACTTCAACATTTTTAAATATATTCTTTACATTTGAACTGACATTACATTTGAATTTGTTTTTAATTTCAATTTTCTAAAAATACCCAAAAATGTTCATAATCTATTTATTTACTTTGTCTTATTTTTAAGGGTACAGTGTATGAAAATTATATAAATTCTTTAGCAAGATGTATAATATCCTATCATGATAATAATGTTAAATAAAATGTATCATATAAATGTATTAGTGTAGATGTTTAGGGTGAGTAAGAAGTCGGAGGTCTCTTATTGTATATAAGTATTTCTAATTAAATAATTCAATAAATTGGTTGAAAAGAAGTTTCCTTATCTATTGAGTAAATTTTATTTACCGATAAACTTTAGATAATACTTTTTGTTTTCAAGATCTCTTCATCCCTGGTCGCAGCTGAAGCGATGAGGCTGACGGATGTGGCTGACGGATGTGGCGCCTTGCTGACTCACCTGCCCTCGTCGAAGCGCGCAATCTTAGCCAGCGTAGCCTCCAACACCGCCGACAGACGCGTCGTCATCCCCGTCGACATGGCTTGCAGGCACGCCTCGATCTGGGCATCCATTTTAGCATGGTACTGGTACTGTGAGAGATTGCGGGTGTTAACACTTAAAGCAAGCATAACACTTAATAAATATTACCTTCGCTCTTGTTTCCCCAAACTTCAAATCGGCATTGACGCTTGTGGAAAATGCTCCGGCAAAAAAGGGATGCCATGCATTACTTGCAGAATTGTGCAAATAAAAAAAATAAACAAAAATTGCGGTCAGCAAAGGATATTAAATTCATGCAAAACTTTCATAACAGGCAATAAAATAAAATAAAAATACTACAAATGCGATGACGTCACAAATTCTGCAAATCATGCCTGACAACCCCACAAGTGCATTCAATTATGTTAGGACTATGTGCTCTATCACGTTCAGTTGCGTCTTATTTACCATTTAAATACAATAATTACTTATTAAAATTAGGTCTAGTGTGTTGATGTATAAAATATGTTTTGTGTAATAAAATTAATTAATTTGAAATATAAATTTGTAGGATAGTAAATATAATAAAAAAAGATTGCTATATAATGTATTTAATCGCATGATAAGTAGTTTTTGGTAGTGTGTGATATGTGTTTTTTTTTAATTTGAGTAAGTCTAAGTCCCACAGACATACGTCCGTGCCTTTTTCGAACATTTTTATGTTTTTTGTTTTTTTTTATTTGAGATAGATTCGTGCGTGTACAGTTTTAGAATCAAAAGATTTGTGTGATATGTGTTATTGTGTTTAAGTGAATTGCAACTGAATGTGATATGATTCAAGAGCCACTAACATGCTTGCAGATTTCACTGTGTTATGTGCACGTGCAATTGTAGTGCACTTGTAATTGTCATCTTATGGTGATGATTTTGACGTGCCTCTCGCGCGCTGTCATTATACCATTGCGCTACATGCCATGCTCATTGCTCAGGCCAACGCTCAAGAGGCACTAGGAGAATGTATGCTTATTAAAATAATGCCAGTTTTTTTAAATAAAATATTTCTTTTTATTTTCAATTTTATTTTATGAGTAAAACATTTTTAACATCAAATCTCATTTTGTTTTGCAGGTCTGATAATTATTGTTTTTGTAAATATAGAAAGTGCTGAAGCCTTTAAATACTGCCTTGCAGTTTACGAAATTTACAACTTAACATTTGGGTTGCCTAAGTTAAGTCTTTTTAAAAAATGTTTTTTTGCTCGTAAAATTTATTCATTTAGTGGAATACTGAATTATTAATACGAATTTGTAAATTGATTATCGATAGCATCTTTTCTTTCCATACATATTTATATGTGCTATGCGTAGCGTCTATTATTTAGATCAAAATGTTCATAAAATAAATAAGCAAAACTATATATTTCATATCATTCTCAATAAAATCATGCAAAAAGCGTTCAGTCTGGCATTGCTTTATATGCTGTATGTATAATAATGAAATGAGTAAAATACCATGATTTCTTTGTACAATCAGGCACACAAAAATGTAAATAAACATAAAAACTCTTTGGTGTGCAAAAATCGCATTCTCATGTCAGTAGCTCTTGGCGTTAACATTGACGATGGGATCGTTCGTTATTTAGGAGTCGTATCAATTTTATTTTCGTATTAATTTAGTTTTTAATATATTAAAACAATGTTTATATGTTTTGGTGAATGCATTAAATATATATTGTTAATAATTTAACGGCGTTATCTTTATATGATTTAGTGGTAAAATATAATTAATAAAGAATAAACTAAATTAATACTTCTTTTAAGTTGATCCAACTCCCTTAAATATAAATTTATTGCCAATTGTTGATTTTAGATCAGAAAAATTACTCAATTAATTTTGACTGTATTGTAAGCAGTAGGGTAATCATACGAGTTTTATCATAAACAATTTTTGGATAACTTTAAATTTTTTTTTTAAGTTACATAATATTCTTGTACCAATATATACATTGCTTAATTATAATAAAAGTTTATGATACCAATAAACCCATTCTGCTTATTTTTAGTGGTTGCGTGAGATGTGTGCGATCACATGTTATCTAAGTAGCAGCTCATTCAGCGTTGGATGATGTTAGTGGTATATAAAAACATATTATTTGGAATTAAAAATACAACAGTGATACCAAATAATAATTTTTATGGTCTGACTGCAATTGTATTAATTTGGTTGCAATGAGTCGTGGTGATGACTGGATGAGTCTAAAATGAGTTACACTTACGATGTCTACACCTTCAACTGCACACAACTTTAGTGCTTGATTTTTGGCATCTAAAGCTACGTTGACCATGGCGCAGATCTCAGCAGGCAGGATGTAGTCTGTTGACATGAAGGTGACGCTCTTCTTCAGCCATGCCTGAAAAATACGACATCGTAGTTTGAAAGAACTTGAAATATTGTATATTAGGCTTTAATTTAAAGTCTTTTTTGAGGTATATTGACGTATAATCTACCTGAAAAGAAGCTTCTGTCTTCTGAATACATGTTTCCATCATATCACTGGCCATAAGCTTGAGTCGTTGCTCAAGATGTGAACGGAATTCTGGCTCTGGCCAATGTAAATCTCTGATGAAAGACTGCAAGGCATCCAGCTTCCAGAAAAGCTCCTCACTTGTTGAACAGCCATTTCTGTTTTCAATTTTAAAGTTTAGTTTATAGAGTTTAAACAGTATTAATTTACTCTCAAAATACTACAAAAATAATTTGCATGTACCCTTTGATTTCCCAACGTTCCTTTTCAAATCCTTTATGAAGTGATTGCGCGATGGATGATTCCATTAGATCTACGTAGCGAACTACGAGCGGTGCAAACGTATCACGTAAGTGTTCGTGGAAGCGGCCGTTTCGCAAATTTTCTGAAATTTATTTTGAATAGTTATCTTAACATAAATATACATATATAAGACAGTGATAGCCCAACGATAACGCGCTCGTTTGGGAAATCGAGTGAAGCGGGTTTAAAGCTCAGGTATAGCACCTCTGATTTTTTTGATGTGCGAAACATTTCCAACATGAACATGATTACCACTTGTGGTGATGGAAAATATCGTGAGGAAACCTGCATGTTTGAGAGAACCTTAAAGTTTTCGAAAGTCATGTGCAGTCCGCCAAGCCGCACTTGGCCAGCGTGAGGAATTATGGCCTAATTCTCTTCTGTATTGAAGGGAGGCCTGTGCCCAGCAGTGGGACGTTAAAAAGGACTAAATACAAACATGTATAAGTAGATTTATTGTTTACATATGTAAAATGCATTTAATAGTATTTATAAACGTAGTAGACTTTTCCACTTGCTTGCGTTTTCCACTTTTTCCACTTGCTGTGCCAGTGGTTGTGGGTTGAATCCCGCGGGAGCCATTCATTTGTGTGATGAACACGAATGTTTTTAGTCCAGTCATGGGTGTTTATATTTATAATATGTATATATTTAAAGTGTAATGTATATATAGTGTATATATGTAATCTGGTATCCATAACACAAGCTTTGTAGGTTATCATGTAACTAGATGGTGATGTGTGTTAATGTCCCAACATCTTTATTTATTTAATTACAGCCTTAATTTTACTGATGCATAAGGTTTATTATATTACTTAATACTTGTATTACTGTAAAGTTTCATCAAAAATTTGTTTAGAAGTTTTTGCGTAAAAGTTTAATAAACATATATCTTTACAAACTTTCGCGTTTATAATTTAGTAGGATTTACCATCGGTCCTTAAGTAATCGTTTAAAATCTGGAACAACGGGAACGAGTCCCAAGTATCCGGGGGTTGTTCAGATAACACTCGATCCATGTCTACGGCAAACAGAGCCCAGAAAATTTCTGCATGCTCCACCAGTAGCTCGGAGAACCACGCAAATGCCTGAACAAAATTTAAATATTTTAACGGCATAATTTACTTATAATATCATAATATTAAAATACGATAAAAAAATATTTTTTTCTTAATATTGGAAGCTAGCTGAAAGATTGCCGTGCATTCAAATTAAAAAATATATAAAATAAATTATAATACAAATGAATATTCGGTATTGAAAGGAACTAACCAATGTAATTATTTAGAAAACTTTCAAGAACAGTAAAAGACATACGACTCATATCATCGATAAGTTTTCGCAAGTCCGTCTATTTCATACTATATGCTTCTGTATAATCAAATTTCATAATCTTATTTACTAAATTTATTTTAAGTGCATGCAATAATAATGTAACTATCTACATTTAATACGTTATTAGGCTGCAAGTGCTGGAAGATGGAAAAATACAGATCTCATGTGCTCAATAGAACAACTTAAGATATAATATAGTAAGTAAATAGTTAAGAATATTAAAATAAAATAGTGGATGAAATAGCATAATACCTATAAAAAACTATCTACAAGCAATTAAAGTGTAGAAATATTTTGAAGGTTGTAGTAATCAAAATGATTATCTTTAAATGTACAATGTATGTAAAGATGTAATTAATATTGGGGTGGTAAATATATATACATTTTCAGATATGTCCAGCGTCGATTCTTTTTAAGCCTAAATAATACAATAATGTCATCAATGTTATGTTCAATACAACTGCTAAAGAAATGCCACTAGGATTTAAGTAATCGATATCACTCCTTTTAATTCTGAATTTTGTCTTCTTTTTTTAAATAAAAGGACCCAAGAAAGCGTCTCTAATTAGGAATCTTTTGTAAACTTTAATAAGCATGTATATTTGTAAATTCGAAATGTTTACATTATTCATATTTTAGTAACAGTAGCTTTTATGACATTGTGGTGATCAAACTAGAAATAATGTCATACTTTTCGAGGTAAATTTGTAGATGAATACTTAAACTATGCACTAAAATCATAATAAGGCTTAATTTCTGCATGTTTATGCGTTCAATGGAACATGCATGCCTTTTAATTAATTCTAGTAATCTATTAAAGCCAGTGTTATACACTATCAGTAGCGCCGTGTCTACTTTTTTAAAATTTGTGATCAAATCAGAGTGAGAATGATTAAGATCGAGTGAACGAATTGACAAGTGATTCGATCAGCCGAGCAATCAATCAAGTGAGTAGTTACATTTTGTTGACCGCTAGAGTCCGGTTTTGTGTTATAAACCTGCGGAGAAATAAAAAATAAAGTAGAAGTGGAATATAAAAAAGTTATATTTTATTATTGCGTTTCTGATCGCAAGTGAATTTTTAGACATTCATTATTTATTTATTTTACAACAAAGAAAACTTGGCTCACTGCACTTCCGTGCATCCTAAAGTGTTTTCTCTTATGGATGAAAATATTTCAAATTCACTTGAGAAGTAAAGCGACATAAAATATAAAAATATATAAATAATTCATAAAATAAAATATCACATTTTCTCTAAGGACGTAACTCGACAGACTACCAGAGACGAAACATCTTTGGCCAATTTATCAAGTCAGTTACACTACGAAGAATAAACTTTAGAGTATTCGTAGTGCACTTGTAGAGCTGAAAATACATTATATTATGTATTATTGTTTCTAAATTTTATTCTTATCTTTTTTTATTTATTATCTGTATAATATGTATTTTTAATAACAACATCAATTTTTATAACAATAATAACAAACAATATAAAAATCTTGCTAAATATTACTAGCAGACTCCTTTGAGTCGTCGTCTCTTTAGGTTTAGACGAAGTATAGTCGTGTTTATAGTTTTTATTTTTTCAGTTTTTTTTATAATATTATGTTCAGCTCTAAGGGGAAAATAAACATACTGCCTTCATTCCCCACACTAATAGCGATAGGAGAACAGGGTGCTATCCAGCGAACATTGACGGTGTACGGTAATTTTTTTTAGACTAAACCACCTCAAATCTTATTCTATTCTGATTTTTAAATATTTATATTTAGAATCTGTAAAATACAATCGTATTTTACCTTTTTGAATGACAATGACTTTCTTTTTCTGCTTTTATTGGGTGATTTTGTGTTAAAATCGATCGTTGCCATTTCATTAATTCTTCAAGGTATAATTTACTCTATATGAAGACGACAGAATAAAAAATAAAACCCTTTCTTTTTTTCATAATACAGATGGTTTAAAACCTAAAAATCTTTACCGTAGAAAACAACATTTAACACACATACACACATACGTCTATGATTTCGGAATGTAACTTAGAGTAAAGTTAAGGTAAAAATATTATTCTTTTAAGATAAAAATAATATTTGCTTCCAAATAATATTTGCTTTGGTTTTGTAAGTTGCAATTCCGAAAATCAGTTGTTTGATCAATAGATTTACTTAATTTAAAATTTCTGTTATTTTATCTTATTTCGTTATAGAATTAAAATAAATTATAAATATTTTGTGTTATTATAAAAATTCCGACAGAACATAAAAAATATTTGAAGAAAAAAAAACTTCTTCTATCAAAACTAGGCTCTCGGTATATTCGGTTTTAATGACTAAGGCCTTTTTCATTCAGTAGGTAGGTAGATGAAAAATAAAACTTTATGATAATAAATATTATTTTAATATTAAATTTATTTAATATAAAAAGTTATTTTTATTAATAATTTAATCAAACAACCGTATTTATATTCACTTAAAACAACAATTCAATGCGATACATCCCACAACATTAACTCCCACGAGAGTGTGGGCTCAAATCCCGTCGGACTTTTTGACATAAGTTGTCAAAGTCAAAGTGACATTTATGAATTAAGAAAAGTTCATACCTCCGCGTAGTGCTCTTCATTTTGTTGTAGCAAGTCGACGCACAATTCAGCCAAATGGATGAGATCTTCTAATTTCTTTGCTGGAGTTACCATGGTTTCTCCGCGGAGATCCTCTGAAATTACATATAATTTGATTTGTTTTATTATTACGAATAAGGTATTCATTTTAAAAATAACAATCTTAATGATGTGAAAAAAAGTAATACGATATCATATAGCTGTTTAGGGTTTAACTTTTTGTTTGTTAAAAATTCTCAATAACATCCCGTTGTTGATAATTTGGCAATGTTATACCCTGATGACTGGTAGAGCACGTTAGACGTTAGCTCATGTTGGTCTTGGCTTGTTCTCTCTCCGATCTTGTCTAATTAATTGTCGTCTCATCGAACTTTGCGAGTGTAAGGAATAGAGAGTACGCTTGTGTGTACACACATACATTATCACCTGTTTGTGCACTATAAATTAAAATACAGGGTACGGTGCAGGTGATGTATCTAAAAAAGCCAAGGCCTTCAAAAACAACTAGAACTCTAGAAAACGTCGAGAGAGTGCGAAAGACAGTTTTGAAATTCTCTAAGCGATTCTTTTCTTCCTGAACTTGAAGAAATGGATGTAGGGGATGTATGGTTACAACAAAACGGTGTCACCGCTCACACGGCATGAATTTCCATGTCTCTCTTGCGTGCACACTTCCTTGAACGTCTTTTCTCTCTCTTTAAGGGGTGATTTAAAGTGGCCCGCGCGCTCGCCAGATTTAGCAAAATGTTATTTTTATTGGCAGGTATTTCTTAAATTATTGGTGTATACCAATCGTCCAAAAATCTTGGATGAGCTGAAGAATAACATTCGTGCTGCTATCGCTAAGATTGACGCAGAAACGCTAGACAAAGTAGACCAAAATTTCAGATTTCGACTCCCAATGTTTTGAGCAAAATGATGAATGAAAAATCTTTTAAATCTACCGCTATGTAAAAAATGATAGCTCCAATACTTTTTGTTTTATCATTTTTTAAAATAAGAAAATCTCCGCGCCAGATTCTATATCTCCTATGCAGGCAATTAGGCTCAGTAAGATTGGGCACCGTGGCCGAAATCTGTCAGGAGGATATTTTTATCTTTAATTTCCATTACGGAAGTTACCAAGCTTAAAAAATCCTTTCTTATCATTCTCATTGTCTACTACAACAGTCTATTTATGTATATTTAAAATACATGTAATATTTACCTTCGATATTAGCTTTCTGGCTAAGAGTAGTATAGTTAAGCAAAGCAGCGTTCTCCAAGCTCGTTTGGATCATTGTACGAACATCCTCTGGAGCAACGGGAGTTACAACATCCTTCATCAGGACTCGTTCCAGAAGGGATAGGGTGGCCTGAAATATTGTTAATGTTTACGTGAAATACTCGTATATAAAATTAAAAAGAACGACTAATAGATTCATACTAGAGCTACCAAAATTATCTAAAAATGATTACTTCGAATAATTGTTAGCATGTATGGTTTCAGATAAAATTCATAGAAATCTTTCGAAAATAACTTAGCATTTACCCAAATTGGTTTCTGACAATCGCAAACAAGTATTTGAATATATTTGTCAATTAAAATAGCATGAAATCCAGTGCATGATCTGTTTTAATAATTTCAATAAATATTTCTAAACAATTTATTTTCATTGAGTGTAACATCTAAATTATTAATTAAGATAATTCAAAATAATTATTAATAGAACAAGCTATGTGTTTGAGAAGACTAGGAAACTTTTTAATTACTTTCAAAGCGCCTTCTGGTCGTCCAAACGGGAACGCATATCTGAAGTTTGTGATTTGGTGTTGAAGTAAGGTCTTGAGGCGTTCCTTAATCTCGGCGAACTTCTCCTTCTCTTGCACCGTAATACTGCCCACTCCGTCTGGCCTGCCAGGCAACGTGGCCGTACTGTGAAAGGGTTGCTGGCTTACTCTAGTAGGGTGGAAGCAGGAAATGGGGTGGAGGCCGCCATATATCATATGAGGATTTGTTTAAATTGATTTCAGATGAATTTAGTTTCTTTCTAAGACTACATTAAGCTATTTTCAAAGAATTTTCAGTTATGCCAGTTGCATGTAAATTTCAGTCAGAAAAATTATTAGTGTACCTTTATTAGTGAAATTGGTTTCCTATTTGATATTATTGCGACCTCCACATCAGAAGATAGTTAGTATGCGTAGAAAGTTAGACACAAAAGCACATTTATATATACATAGATAAACATTGCGTTTAGGAAATTAGGGAAAGATTTTATAGAATAGATTTTTTAGAGAGTAATTTTGTGGGCAAGTATTTTTGGATACTGGTTTTCAAAAATTTTACTTCTAAACATATAACACAACATCGAACTTACCTGTTTCCATGCACATGGCTTGCACAGAAAGCGAAGGAGTAGTGCATGAGAGTTGGGTCCACAGTCTGTGCTCCACTTTCGGCGACATCAAGTAAATCAGATAGATAGCACAGATGACGATAGCAGCCCCTAACCCCATATCGTGCACAGTATTCATCAAGTACAAACACTTGACCTGGAGAGAACCAACCCTGTAAAAAATCATATTACCGTTACCGTCTATTTGGTCTCGAATGTTTTAAAACGTCATTCAATTTAAAAAAAAATATTAATTTCTATTTCTCTTTCCTTTTGAAAGTTCATTAAAAAAGTAATTATCCCTCTGAGCAACAAGAAGGAACCAATAAAATTTTCACAATCAGTGAATATGTAGAAGCGAAGTATAAATAATTACATAAAATATTTAGCCTTTAAAACCTCTTTCAGTAAATCAAGTGTAAATAGTTAATATAAGATATCAATTACCAAAGAGCAGTACGGATCTTGCAGACGATATTTCAAAGTAAGCGATTGAAGCATTGTGAAGAGTTGGTGATGGTCGAACTGACATGGATCAGCTTGGATGTAATCCTCCATACCGTGTTTACGCGCTTTGTCTGCATCTGAATATACATTCAAGGTTTAATTATTAAAGATAATGATTAGACAGAAGATACTGCATCTGTAAACACAAAAAAATATTAGGCAATTAATTTTAACTATAATCTTAAGACTATTTACTTACGCAGTTGTGATTTTCCTGAAAATGACAAACTTGTTGTAATTAAGTATAAATCTAATTACCTTACCTTGTATGAACCTAAAATTGGAGCAAATTGAGTTAAATATACAGTCATAATAAACCGATAACGTATCACACTTCCATACCAACATACCTCCCATTATTTTAATATGCGTGTCTGAAGTCGTAGGCGGGGTCGGCTTGTGACTCTGTCCTGTGGCACGGTATAATGCCATGACCCATAAATGGCATTCATTCTCATCACTGACCCCCATAAGAACTGATTCTCCATCACGGACGGCGTTCATGAAGTACTTCGCTCCTTCAAGCTCTGAGGATATATGGCTGTTGTGTTTAGACTACAGGGTTTACAGAATTTTATTAATCAAATCTGATTAATGGAATATACAACCTCTATCTATTCAATTGATTTTACTTGTCAGAAACAAGAAAAAAATAACAAAAATAAACTTTTCAGTAAATAAAGGTTGCAAAGATGGTAAAATAAAAACTTTTTAAATTTTGAATATCATGCACTGGCAAACTATAATATTAAGAATTTCGGACTAGCGATTCTCAAACTGATTGGAAAGGCACCTTGAGCTTGATGCCCGAGATGCGAGTTAATATGCCACTGCGTCCAGAAGTTCTTACTTTTTTCTGAAATTAAAAGTCTAGCGTAATAATAAAAACACTTGAAATTATTTAAATCATAATAAAAAAACATAATAACATTATAAAATTCAATAAATAAAATATTTGAACAAAACTAAATGATTTATACAAAAACCAACCAAATATAAATATTGTATTTAAATCTCGCCAAAATTATTTAATTAAAAAGGAGCTTAGTGATACTAATTTATTTTAAGGATATGAATATTTTATATTTCAATATAACCTAAAGTACTTCTAAATTTTATGAATGCTTCTATTTAAAACCTTAAAAAGCAGACTATCATAAAAAATAATAGTCATTTGGATTTTCTCTCACAAGCATTATATACAGCTAAGTTCATGAAAGGTAGTATAACATTTAATTAATCTTTACCGAGAGCTTCGTTCTAGTTTAATTTATTTTTAAATTAGATTTGCAATGCAAGAGCAAACTTTTGCATTGCGCCATTGAAGTTTTTCAAAAGAAAATATTGACTTACCCTGTCCAACCATCAGTTGCGCTGGAAGTATAAAAAGTATTTGATAAGTACGAGCCTTACTTTTCAACGAGTTTGACTTAGTTGCTTTAAGGTATTTTTATAAAATGAGAATATAGAACTATAAATTCCTTACTGGAAAATATAAGCATGAGGATTACCTCATTATAGTTATTATTATCTATGTACATATAAGTTTAAATCCATGTAATAAAACTTAGCTTAAATGAAAAGAGAAAGGCTAGAAAGTAGAAACTTATAATAATACCAAATATTAGTTTTAAAAAAATAGATAAAGTAAATCCATCGCTTGTTTCACTTAATTGATCGTTTTAACCGTTCCCTGAATATAACCGATATGTTTCGGGTTTGATTCTAGATTATAGCATATAATTGGTTCAAACAAATATCTGTCGTAGCTGTCTTCAATTCAATGTAAAATCATCAAAATCAAAAAGTTTTTTTCAATAAATGTTTAATTTTTATTATAAGGAAGATCGGTATGAATTTGTTTGAAATAGAATAAACAAAGTATCTTATATTTCGTGTTCATAAACAAGTTATCAACGTTGTTACTTTAGTACTCACTCTGACTAAAATAAGTTTACGTGCTAAAGTTTTTATGTTAAGTGAAATTATAGCGCTGTGTGTTAACATAAATCAGTACTTGGGTGACTTAATTTCAAAACAGCGACTAACACTTTCTTACTATGCAAACTTGGTTCATTGTTCTGTCACGAATTTTCCTAGTTAATAAAGTTATATGGCTTCATAAATCTAAGTTCAACTTGATGTTAGAAGAGTATTGAGGTTATATCATCTAACAACTGTCTACAAGTTTGTAGGTAGGTATAATGAATTCTTGCAACTGAAAGTAAGTATATCTGGTTAAAATAAATACGAACTTATTACGTACCTACTTTCTCTTTTGTAAATTCGATGTTATTTCGATTATACTAAAGTATTTTTTGCATTGGATAATTTTTGCAAATATTTGAGCAGTTAGCTTATTCATGTATATTTTTACATTTGTTATGCACGATTTTACATACGTAATATAAGCCACAAAATTCTTACCACTGGCCAGTTCAATATAGTCAACAGTGAATCCATCAAGTTGCATCATTTCTGCTGGTTCAGACTTCTTGTCTTTATAGGAGCAGAGTGCGAAAGTGTACTGGCTTACTTGTACCAACACCATGTACCTTCGCTTCCACTTACGCCAAACGTTCTTACCGATGACATGGAGATATCTACAGTTTGGGGATACCAAATTAATATACTATACATTTTTGCAAATATGCCTTAAAATGCCTTTAAGCGTGTCAATTTAAAAAATAATAAGTGGTATAAACATTTCGTATCATTTAATTATTATTATAGTTTTAATACTTCAATCAATTATTAAATTCTAACATTCACGTACATAGAATGTGCAGTTCTATTTTAAAGTTATTCCTTACCCACAATGCTTCATGTTGAGAGGTTTATCCATCCGACAAGCGATTTTAATTCTAAGATCTTGATCTGGTAAATTTTTCGGAACAGTCATGCGATGCCATTCAGGAGCCTAAATAAATGGAGAAAGAAAAAATTACAAGAGACTAATCACAAAAAAAAATGTTTTTTTTTCAGTTTCAATTAAATATTTTTTTTGTGGACAACATTTTTTCAACATACGCTATAAGCACAATTTTTGATACTTTTTTTATTTACATACCTTACTAGATAAAGGTGTTGGTCGAAGTACAACTTTTCCCAGTTCTTTATCTTCAAGTGCTAGAACTCCAGGATTTTCAGTGTATAGCTTGACCTTCACAGCGGGCAAGGGCTGTGTGGTACTGAAGTCACCTTGTGTATCCCACCTGGGTATTTAAATTGCTTAAAATGAGAGACCAGTCTATCGAGAAGCCTACAAAGATACTTTTCTGAAGATACTTTTATTGTAGACGATAAATACTAAACAAGAATTAATATGAAAGTGTGAATAATACAGTTCGTATAGTATATTGTGTTTGTTAAACAGAGTATAATAAAGTGAGAGCAGCAATTTTTGTTCGTGAAGGATTTATGTTATTCCATATTTCCATTGAATAATTAAAGATAATATAACATGGTTTTAGCCTGCATCTATGCTCGCGTACTTTGTGTAAGTAAATTTTTTCTTTAATGGGTCGTATTGTGAGCTTAGATATAACCTCCCTAACTAGATAAGCAAAAGCCTTGTCTTATTGAGAATTTTGTATTTCTAGTCGATGGTTCAGATATGGCATGATCATAAATACGTTAATTGCATTGACATGCATTTATACTTACATAGGTTTTGAAGCTTCAGCTTGATCGGTTTGCAATTTGTCTCCACCTTCAACCTCCATAGTGCAGTAGACTATTCTGTTAGGAGCTAACGACTTCAACCCTTTGACTTCCATTACAACCACCTAGATACGAGCACAATATATCAAAATAAAACATACGATACTAAATACCGTGAAAGTATGTTATGAAAGGAATAGGCAATAACATTTTTTTTTATTTATATTTGAATTTTACAATCATCGTTACCTCTATCTGGAACGTAAGAACCACATCCATTTTGGTAAGCTGAGTGTCGACGTCACCACCGTCAGCTTCGCCGGTCAGCTTGTTCGCTAGAGATCCTTGTGATCTGAAACATAGCTGCTTACTCAACCTTGGACTCGGATCTGGTCCAGCATTTGATCTGTTTTATACGACCACCAATCATGAAGTCAAGTTCAATATGTTGATCAAAAATATCTTGATGAAAGTTGATTGAGCATGGGCAATATTTAAATAATTTAATTGACAAAAGCAAAGTTGTTACGGTAGAAGATAATTTTTACGTTATTATTGAAAACACACATGTAATATGTAATAATATAGAACGGAAATTGTTACGGAACACACAAGTTGGCAAGTCCAAAGCAAATTACAGATATAGGGGAAACATTCACAGGCCCATGGAAGGTGGCATACAATGGAACCATCACCGATACCAAGAATGATTAAGCATAGCAAATGAGTAATGTTAGTTTTTGGCACACACAGTAAATATCTAAGGCGTTAGGAAAATAGGGTAGTGGGTGAAATAAGAGTAAAAATGGGTTGGGAAGCCAAAGCACTTGAGCATTAAGCGTTCAGATCTCCCTTTAAATATATTGGTAGATTGAGAGGAAGAAAAAATTACGTGAAGGATATAGGTTACAAGCCGTGAATTTATTTCTTTAAGCCTGAATTTGTTCTTTGCATGTGTTCAAAACGCTAACTTCTATATTACTCTAATTTTAAAGCTAAATGTTTTTTTCTAGCAAAAATAGCTAACTTGATCATTTTAGTTGTAAAAGCTTAAAACCGTGTAAAAAGCTTTATATTCCTTTATCCTTTGTTCCTGTCAGACCACATGCTGTACCAAGTGTACTGTTAAGTAACAAAAACTCTAAACTGATGAAGAAACAATAACTAGCTGCCACATTATCTATGCGCCCAATTGAATGTCTTTTGTAGTTAGCCTTATTGATACTTTTATTAAAAATATTTGTGTTGTAATTTATCTATCTAAGCCAAAGTCAGTGTAATTTTGTTTGTCATGTGTTGTATCTTCATTAGTTGATCTATATTTTCTACTCTATTCGAGCTATATCTACAGTGGTACAGTGACAGAAGGATCGTCTCGTTGGTGTCAGGCAGTGGGTTCCTACACAAGACACGTGCTGATTATCATATGATGGAATCATTACTTGTACTTCCTTTGTACCGTCCAGATTTGTGCCAGGGACAGAAAAATCAAAGAAATGAACAGTAGAAAGTAGGTGGCTATTGATATTTTTGTTTAATGTAATTAGATCATCAAATTATATATATTGATTTATTTTAAAGTTTCAAAATTTAAGAATATTTCGTAATTATTCAAGTAAAGACGTCAGACAGTGTTTTATAAACAAAGAAGAGTTTTACAGAAATCTAACTTATTGGCGCATTAATTAATGTTTGATGATCTAATTAAATATAAATAATTGTACATTTATATCCACATATATTTATTTATGCTGGGGTCAGTTCAGGTGTACTAGAAGTATATTTATTATAGAACAGTAGTTAAAGACAGTCACTAACACCAATTGTGCACAAGGGATGTGAAGTTTTAACATTTAAGGTTTTTTGTAGAGTCTGATAAATGTTATTGTATTTTCTAGTAACCAAAAAGATTTTTTTTAAATAATTTAGTTTTAAATGACAAAAATAAAATATTGTTCAAAATTGGATAGATTTTGATTCAACTTTAATTATTTCGTACCTTACACTAAACGCATAAAAAAGTCAGTATTTTATGTTAAAAATGTAAAAGCCCATATATCTAAGAGATAGATTAATTATTTATAATACATAGGTATATATCTAAGCCCAATTCTGTGCGTACTGACCTGTGATTATACCGCTTGATCTTATGCAGGCCATATTTGGAGTCGGTTCCTCCTTTAGACACCGGGAGACTCTCCAGATTCGCCATCAGCAGGTTGATGGAGGATTTTAGCTCTTCTATGTAGAGGGATTCCATTTCCTTCAGCACGAACTTGGGCATCAGTTTCCGATTCTAGTTTAAAAAAGAAAAATCATTTTTATATTAAAGTTTTTTTAAGAAACATAATCATAGGCCTTCAATTCTGATGAGTGATAAGTATCGATCATTCTCCCTAAAGTAAAAGGGTTGGAATTAAAATTGGAGAAAGATGATTTACGGGGAGGATTGGGTGGCTGTATATCTCTCAAACGCCAGTAACGTAATTATAATGAGTTCCAATTAAAAACTTTCACCCACAGCTACAGTTCATCTTAAGAGCAGCGTTAGATTTCTCTCATTAAGATATTTAAACATCCGTCAAGATCCGATGGGAATATAATAAAGTAACCTTCGTTTTAGATCACATATGACGTTTTTAAATGATCTTTATAATTTTACTTGCCTTGGTTTTTATTATTTATAGTCGATAGCAAAACTAGTAAGATTTCTTAGCTTTCATAAGATTCTTCTTCATTCAAAACGAAAAGTTTAAAATTATTATATCTTTATGACATTACCTTCTCCATTTCGTTGACTTTTTGCATTCTACCATCCAATTCTCTTCTGATCGCTGCAGCTTGCTCGTCCGCTGAATCCAACTAAATAACAAATTGTGACATCTTTTTAACTTTCTTCTAAGTTTTTTAGCTATCATATCATCCAAATAAAAAAAAATCGAATTCAGCCACCCTTCTAGAGAAGAACTAGCCATCTTACGTACAGATTTATCTCAAAAGAAAAACCTTTAAACAACTCTTAGCAAGAACATTCATTCCAAAACAAAAGTTGTTCATAAAGTTTCAAGACTGAAATGCGAAGCGGTAATATCTCTAATATTACTGCATTATTTTTCGTTCTTTCCAGCACTTTAATTCAACTTCTGTGAAGGTAATATAGCAGTTTAACCGTTTCTTTTATTCGACAAACAATGGAAAATTGTATAAGGAACGTAAGTAATAAATTTTTCAAGGTTATGTAATAGGGGTGAGGAACTTGGAGCTAAAAATTTCACATGCTTTCACTAAAGTATTCGTTTTAATTAACTAAGTTAAAAATTCTTTAAAAAACACTGCTTTAAAAAAATACTTTCAATAATTTGTGGTAAAATATTTGGAATTGCCTTTAAAATTATAAGTCTTTTGAATTCTTTCAATAATCGAATAATAATTTGCCTATAAGGTCTTCTTTCAAGGTTACAACATATTAGTAGAAATAAATGATGTTAGTTAAGTGACATAAATTGAAATTCTAATATTATTTTCATACTTATCATTTGGATCATAAAAAAAAGATTCAGGCGTCAATATCTTGCGTGATAGAGAAATTGCGATTATCAATCTTTCGATTTCAGTATAATGTGCAATGTCAACAACAAGTTCAGTTATATTAGATACTTCATGTTCGCTTTACCAGAATAGGAAAATCTTTTACGTACATACAATAAAAACATTTGACTTAAGGGGCATTTCAAGTGAAGCGGACTACGAAAGAAAAGTGAGGTTCCGAAATTCGTTCATATTAGGCACATTTGAAACTCTAGGGGATATGAACATGTACACATCATATATTTTTTATTTGATGTTTAGTTGTCAGTTTATGGGATTCTAAAGAATTGATCAGATTGAAAGAAGGGTTTTTTGTCTTCTTTTTTCATATTGAAGTAATTAGAAATGAAATAATAATTGTAGTGTCCTGTATAGAAAATTCACTGTTCTTTTTGGTTTCTTAATCAGATTCCAATTTTGAATTATTTTTCTAGTGTTAAAACGGAAGTATATATTTTAAATAATTTTTTTAATAACTTAGACCATTTTAATTTTCATTTTTTTACTGCACAAAATAAGCTTAATATATAATATATGTATAATATATATAATTTCTGAAATGTATATATTATATACATTTTATCATAAAAATTATAGAGAGATCTTTAGGAGGTAGGAGATATAAGAGACTTTATTTCTTCTCTTTTATTATGTGTACATGTTAATATCTCCTAGACTCTAGAGGTTCAAATATGCTTAATATGAACGAATTTCGGAACCTTACTTTTTTTCGTTGTCCACTTCACATGAAACGCTCCTTATGTTAAAATCGAACCTGTAATATTTGGAAATAAAAGTAATACAGAAAGAGGGCAGGGATACTCTGAAAGTAATACACTTACCAATAGAGCATTGAATAACAACTGGTGTTCGAATTTTTTTACGCCTAATATTTGCTGGAACATGTCGTAAAGTTGTTCTTTGCTTAGAATACATTCTGCGTTTAGACTTTGCTGCTGTGCACGCGATGGTCTCTTGGATTCGTCGTCACCGGGTATACCTAAAGTGATAAAACTTTTAATTTTGGCGATTAGTATTGGTTTTAATGATTAAAGTGATTTTTTGATTTGTTACCGAATTTGTAACTTCGATTGGTGCTGTAAGGTACTGTAGTGAATATAAGTTTAGAAATTTTAATTTATTTCAAAGATACAATGTGGTATATAAAATTATGTCAAAATCGGTTAAATTTAGAATCAATTTATTAAAAAGAAAAAGAATTTTGAAACAAAAGTTGAGGAAACTCGTTATTAAAGTGTATGAAAGAGAAATAAAACTTCGGTTAAAGCACTTAGAACTTGACCAAATACTAAGTATTTACTCGAACGCAAAGAATATTGAATTCAAACTTCTACAAGCATTTCGTAACAAAAAAGCCGAAGTGAGGAATTCTCATGAAGTTTTGGCAATAAAAATTACTGTGTTGTTATTGTGTAGATATTTTACGTAAAAAGTTATTTCAATGGTTCTACTATAATGTGTAATGTTTTGAAATGAAAAATTTATGTTGTAAGCATAGTATACAGCTTATTTAATGTCTATATGTAATATATAATTATTATTGCTATATATTGTGTATGTGTTTGCTGTCACTTTTCCGTGAATACGCCTTACTGAAATATTTTGATAAAATTGAGCTCTTCAAAGATTTGATGCTTGTTCCATTATAAGATCTAATTTGAATATATTCAAGTTTTTGTAATTAAAGACGTATTCACGTTGAACAAAATTGCCTTAAATAATAACAACGATAACAAAAAAGCAATGACACAAGACATAAGCTTAGTCGTAGAAAGGAAAATGAACCGTTCTCCAGCGATACCTGTTATTCCTGGGAGGTGTGAAAGGAGAGAAACACAGACGTGAGACAGATGCAAGCAACACACAGTTTTGATATACATTCAATGAATCACACGGGCTGTACAGTCAGAAAAATAAATCGGCACCCTTTAGAAAACCAAGAAAGAACCTTTGGTTAAAAAGAACTTTGGTTTTAAGAAAATTGATAAATTAACTTTGCTGACCGTATTGCGTTAAACATAAACAAACAATAGGTTCAAAATCAAAAGATATAAATTTTATAATCAGTTGTTATCCATAAATAAAGCTTTCCTTTGTTTCCACGATGCTGCTGAAGTAAATACAAATATTAAATTTTGTTTACCAAAATTATTTTATAAGCTTCATACATAATAATGAATTAATTTTCAATCGCACTTTCTTTGTTGAAGAGCCTATTTGAATTGTTTGGTTTGTTGACGAGCAGTTTCTTTAATATCTACAGTTGAGAGCATTTTAATGATTAAACTTTTTCATAAAAAAAAACTTTTGTTGCAATTGTTTATTATTTCTTTCATATAAAATAGGTAATATTCTACATGAAATTAATTCGCGGCTCGTTGAAGACTGATATTTCCGGAATTTATTCCATTATAAAGAAAAATATGTTTTCGAATTTATCGCGCTTTTATTTCACTGTTTTGTTTCCAACGTTTCAAATGGTTATGGCAAACATGGTCACCGAAGTACAGTTCTTGGCATCTCAAGAGTCAACAAACAAATAACAAAAAAGTAAGATAAAGTTTCATTTAAAATTTGAAATATTTGCGTAAGAATGAATTATTCTTTCAATCGAACATTCTCGATTGATTCATTTATTAAATAAATATATAAATTAATAATTAAGACGAAGCACTTCCCTCACTGCAAGAACTAAATATTACGTAATATTTTTCACAATCCCAAAAGTCATTATATGTTGTAAGGTCTGGATTTGATTACTCCTTTGATTTGATCAAAGGAGCAATCAAAGCTTCTTAAATGTAAAGATTTTTCCTAACAAAAATTCCATATCATTTAGAATTAAGAAGAAAGATTTCCAAACATTTCTTATACAGGTTGTGGTACGTTAAAATGTATTATAAGAGAATTTAGATCCACTAAACAATCAGGCAACGCTACGTGATCGATGACATATTACTTTGTGCAAAGCTAGAAGTTACTCGTACTTATCTTCAAATATAAATGCTCCAATTTCTTTTTTATAATTGGTAGTCATTTCATTTGTTTCATTAGGTTTATTTAGTTTTATTGTAATTGTTTTGTTAATAATGTGCTCGTTTGAAATAGTCTAGTAATTTAAATATTAAGGCTATGGTACAAACAAAAGGAAGATGAGCACACAGATGTCACACACATTCAAAGGCTGCAGACGGAAGCTTTTCACTCGATGCTTGGCACATTGCGACATGCTATTCATCACAATTTCTAGAATACTAGATATGAGAACTAAAATAACGAAGACAATCTTAAAAATTGACTCAATCAATTTTCATATATTTTTAGCATATATAAGTAATTCAAAAGAAAATTTGCTTTATTAGACGATTATACGTATATCTAATAAACAGAATTTTGTTTTCTATGATTATTTAATTTATTTATATGTGTATATTAGGTTCGTATAAAAAAACGTAGTTGCCAATTTCTTATTTAGCTGTGCCTAAGTCAAATATCTTATAGTAGCTTCTAATTTTTAATTCTCATATCTTTTTACATTGTCATTCGGTATCAATATCTAGAACTCACCCGTTCCTTTCATAATGCAGTCCAATTTCGCAAGCCATGTTGTTAAAACAGTTTCTTTGCTAAGACCATCAATTTCTGGTAAAGACCTGTGAAATTGACTTAGAAGTTACGATAATTGAATTTAATTTTAATATGTTAAATATGTGTTTTTATATAAGATCAAAGTTAAAGTATTTAATAGGAGATAAATTCAGAGTTACCAATTTTAGAAGTGGAAAATATTTTCAAGTTTGGAAGCGTATTGATTTAATTATTTTTAGAAGCAAGGAGAATTCATTTTGTAAGTCTTAAAATATACCTTTAGTAAAATGTTTTCGTCCATAAACAAGAATAAATATCTGAGATATCAAGTTGATAAAGCTTTAATTATAAATGGAAGCAAAGGTACTTTTATAGGTTCTTTGAATAATATGCTTATACCAAGAGTACCTATGTGAGTTGAATTAAACACTTTTTTCTGTTTTTTATATTCAGTATAATTATTTTAGGTTTGATCAAATTCAAATTTGGTCAAATTGATTTCAATTTCAATTTTGTTTACGCAATAAAATGTATAAAAAGTACAATTTGGAACAATTTTGCAAACCTGACTCGTTTTTCGATATTATTTCTGAAGACCTCGCGGAAGTCATGATGCGAGCATGCTCCGGACTTAACCATCTGCTCCACTCTTTCCGACTTGAGGAACACGTCGTAGTATGATTGCACTGCGTTTTGGAAAGCTTCATCTGCCAATATTTGTGTCTCGCCTTTCAAGAAAGCCTATATAAAATTTAAATGTTAGATATCCTAGTTATCTTTAGATTTTTTTCTTTATCACCTCATCAAGACATATTTACATTACTACATTTGAAAGAACTATAGTTTTAATTTAATTATATCGGTTTTTGTGTAGTTCAAAAGGTCCTACCATACCTGAAACCTGGCCTGTATAGTTTCCAACTGGTGTGGAGTCAATTTCGTATGTCGTCGCGTCATATCCGTTGGTTGTTTCGCGTTGAAGGGGTGTGCTATACATCTTGACACGAAAACATAAAGTTGGAGACGTCGTTTTTTATCTTCTTCAAGTTTTTCAATTTTTTCCTGCGTATGAAAAATATATGTTTATTTTTGGATATCTATACTAATATAATAAAGAGGTAAAGTTTGTGAATTGTGAGTTTGTGACGTTGAAGGGAGTAATCTCTGAATCTACAGAACCGATTTAAATGAAATTTGGTAGGAAGATAGTTTGAGACCCTGGACATAGGACATAGGATATTTTTTATCCCGGAAATCATCCCTTGAGGCGTGACAATGGGGATAAAAGTTTGTATGGGGAAACAACCTAGGGACGAACCCAAGCGAACGGAAGGTGAGTCGCTAGTTTATTGTAAGTTAGCTTAAAACTTAAAATTAGCTGTATTTATCAAATGTGATTGATAAAAAATAAGGGGTGAACCTTTATTTCATTCATTCGCATTCGCTTGTGTAGTGTATGCAAGCTAAACTTAATGAGATTGATCGCTCTGAATAAATTTTGATCAGAAAAAGTTATTAATATCTATTATTATATTATGTTCTAGTATCTAATCCTATTTATTATTTGATTGATTTTTTCTTTTTTATGTGTGTGTGTAAATTTAACGCATATAAGTATGTATGAATGTATGTATGTATATATGTATGTATGTATGTATGTATGTATGTATCTATTTATCTATAAGTATTTATATATAGTAAACGTGTTAAAGCAAGTACACCGCCTACCGTTTTTATGAACATTTACTCCTCCACCTCAAGGTTGCCTGGAAGAGATCGCTTCCAGCGATAAGGCCGCCTGCTGTGCATCTTTTCTTTGTATTTTTTTTATTTTATATTTATTTTGGTGTACAATAAAGAATATTATTATTATTATATCTATAATTTTCTAAGTTAGGGAAACTATCAGGAGGTTAATGAAGAGAGGCTATAACAAGTTTACGTCTTAACTTTAATATTGGATAGTTTAATATCACGTCCGAGACAGCCTATATGTGTCAAGATGTACAAATTAACATCGTTTCTAATTAATATAAGTATCCACCGCAAATAGTTTCAACAGTTAATAGCTAAATAATAATTAAACTTTGTTATACAGTCTGTTATAAATAGCAAATGTAATATATCTTCATTTGGAAGAGAAATTAATGTGTTTCGTTCGTCTTCTATACTTGCTCAAACTATTCATCCGATTGCGTCGAACTTTGCTGATATTTTGTACATTGAAGCAGAAAGAGAAGGTTAGTTATAGCGTACATAGTTTAATCAACGTAGAATATGTACCGTGGGAGTTGTTTGAACATTTAACTTATCCATTTTCATATTTTATATGTATAATATGTAATATAAAGAGTGTGAAGCAATGAAATATAATATATTGTTTCTGATATTAAAAAATACTTAGTCTGCTTATTTTGGGAGCACATATTAAGTACATATAGTATATTTATGCACTATAATATTTCCTGAGCAGTTTGAGTTGTCTCAATGATATCGATTGCCGTGGCCAAAATTGGTCATGAGAAGATTATTATTAACAATGCTTGCGTTTGCTTGCTTGGCTTGAGGACACAGGCCCAACAAGTAGAGGATAAACCCCTTAAAATTTAATTTGTTATTATTATTAATAATATGTCTGATAAATATTATTTTTGTTTTTCTTTTTATTTTGTAACTACACATTTTATTTATGTCTGTTTTTGTTGAATTGTTAGTTTACTCTGCTATGTTTACGAGTATGTATAAGTGGAAACTTTATTGGCGTTTTAAGTGTACTAATACTGATGTATTTTGCATTTGATGCTTATATATGCTGTCTGTTTTGAATTTTACTAAATAATTAATAAATATACATAGACTATTTACCTGAGGGTCTTGGTCCTTATCAGAGTGACTGGTGCCAGAGGGACTGGGGGACGGCGCCGGGGCTTCCCCGGAACTCGCACTGCCCGTCGACGTCCTGCGCAAGAACGATCTAAACGATCTATAGAGTTAAGTTGCAATGTAAGTGATTTGGGTTCACACAAACTGATATATTTTAGAGTTTATTATGGTATTTCTCTTACATGAAATTTATAAGAAAAAGCTATTTTTTTTTATTATTATTTATTATTATTATAATGTAATTTTTACCAATTTTTAATTAATTAATGCAATGTTTCATTTTTGTATATGAACCGTATGTAAATCTAAAGTTAAATTGTTCATCACTCAAAGAAAAAGTCTGTTTAATACTCGTACTTCAAAAGCATTTTGGGAATTTTAAAATCAAAATGCACTATTTATACTCGATATAGATAGTTTAAAAAAATCTATCCGAGAACCGATTATTTGAAAGTTCAATTTGAAAATTTGCAAGCTTCTGCGTTGAAATTCAATAAAATTAACTTATAACAACAGGTGTTTTTTGCAAACAATTTGTACTATGCATAAATTTAGAAAAAAGTTTATAAGGAAATACCAACTTCCAAGCATCATATTCTTTGGAATTAACATTTCATATCAGTGTGTGTAAACGTATGGTTATGTTATGATACTACTTATTACAAGCTACTATATAAAAGTAGAAAATATATTAGCATTTAGCATCTATAATTCCAATTTACTAGCTTTACCCCGCGGCTCCATTTCTATAATTTGTCAATATAATATAATTTCTTCGCTCATAATATTCATCGCTTTTCTTAATAAACAGGCTATAATTATAAAATAACGCTGACTGGTAATTTATGTGATTGGCACGTTTAAACAAACAAACAAAAAACTTTTCAAGGCAAAAATGTGATTAGGTATATTTTAAATGTCTATTGGAGAATTCAAAATTGACTATCGTGTAATTGTTTTGTCTATCCCTTTATAATCTTTAATTTCTGCATGCTGGACAGTTTTTGACAAAACTTTCATAGACCGTTCGGGCGATGTTTGCGTAGCTGTAAGCGAAAACCCATCTCTATGATTATATACTACAACACTATTTTCTTCTCTACAATATTTATCTACTTTATCTAGAGCATACAAAAATATAAGCTACTGGTATTAAATAGGCCTACTTCTGAATGTTACAAATATTGTTATTTTACATACAAAATTACCTTAAGCGGGATCGAACCGACACTATGCTTACTATTATGCTTACTATAATATTATATAATTTATTACTAATATCTATTAGGTACTATATCGTTCAAACCTCTGCAATGTTTCATGAAACGAAATGGTCGTGAGGTATATTTTATTTTTCAGTATTTTTGAGCCCATTTAAATTTTAAAAATCCTTTTAACTTTTCAACCTGAATACGTAACAAAAAGAATTCAAAGGAGTATGAAATTGTACGCAGCAATGTTGTATAATTACAAAAACTTCAGTTAAAATCTTTGTTATTTTCAAGTGTTAAATAAATCTGAAAACGAGATTTAATTTTTTCATCTTATGGTTTAACAAGTTACGACTTACTTATAGTAGGAGATTCCGATCTATGTGGTGGGCCCCTCATTCTTTTTCCAAGCGAAATATATTTTTTAAATCCTAAAACATGTTAACAAACACGACCCAGGGAAGCTGTCACCAAAATTTTTTTTAAGTATTAGAACTCTTTTCCTATGGGAATTTAGTATTAATCGAAAGTAAAAGACTTGTAGAAAATGTCATTCTTCTGTTGGCGGCCTTTTTTGAATCCACATTACCTGACATTCGAAGAAAAAGAGTGAGGGGTCCACCATATAGATCGGGATCTTGAACTATTATGATTAAGAACTTTCCTTCAACATAAATTCACAAGTTATTAGCAAAAATAATAGACTAATATTTAAAAATAAATATTATTAAATATTTCAAATCTTATCCATAATTAATAATAAGAGTAATTTAAGCCCATTTTCTTTGTTTGAGCAATATTATTTATTTACAAGACACGATATTTTTTTGAAATGAAAATATCTTAATCAAATACAAATCTATAGTTAAAAGAAATCTAGAACAAACATTATTTACGTATTGATGAAATAAAGATTTTTCAAATATTTAAATAGGCTCGACGGGTGTTTCATAACAGCATACTCACTGGGGGGGTGCGAGGGCGGCGGCCTCCCTCTGACGCGTCGCGGGGTGCAGGGGGGCGGCAAGCGGGGCCGTTGTCAAAGGACTTGCGCCTGTGTACATAATTTATGTTAGGAATAATTTTCTTTGTTACACCACCAGTCGTAGATCTGGTTTTTATGGTGATTTAATTAATCTTTTTAATATTTCTATGAGTTGCGTTTTTCCTCAATTATGAAATACTGACGACTCACCATCGTTTTGCTCGGGTGAGTAGATATTTATATTTTACATACAGACAACGTGAAGTTTTGGCCATTTTTATTACTAACAGAAATCTATGATATGACTCCAGATAGTCCATCTGTGCACTTCCGTCCAGCCGAACGAGTCAGAACAAACATACGAACAATCATACAAGTTTTTACGTAATAGTAGTAGGTATACAGTATATGTTATATCCACCTATGAGGATTTTTTTAATTTAAGAATCTGCCATTGTCTTTTGCGTTTTCTATTTATTTTCTTGTGTTTTGCGATAGCTTTGATGTGAACCGATTTTAATAACAAAAAAATGATCAGATTACACCCCAAGGGTAATGCTGTAGTAATTTATAGATTTTCCTTTAAGAAGAAAAAAACGATGTTACATGTATTAGAACTTCAAACAGTATGTTACTTTCATTAAGTGAAATTACATTTTTTTCTGTCTTCTTGTAATTACTGGACCATAATTTACTTCACTAGTCCTATCCGGACCTATCCGGTCCTAATAATCCTTATGGTTGAAATCGACCAAGACACTATAATCATCAAAATATACCTACTTGTAAAAGAGATGATGCTATATGGGATTATACGTGTATATTTAAAATAGGATTAGAATATTTTTGGCAAGTAGTTATCAAATGTTAGCGACCAAAAAGTTGAACAAACGTAAAAAAACCACAGTTGCTTTTATCCAGTAAAACTGTAGGTAGTCAAAATGGCGTTGACGTGACAAACAAAGCACTTGAATTCCAAGCGATTCCATACTGATATTATAAATGTTTAAATAACTCTGTCCGTCCGTCCTGTGGTACTTTACACGCTTAAACCGCTGTTGCTGATGTTGATGTTTGGCATATTGCATCTTAAAAACAAGTGGAACCGCGGGTTAAAACTAGTCCAATTTGTATTTATAAAATCAACCTATATTTTTTCGTTCTTTCCCTATTACTGACATGCAAGTGCGTCATGTGTGTTAGCAATAATAACTTCTTAATTAAAAAAGTATGCCGACTTTATAATTATTCATAAGTGTAATTATTCTATTGTTAGGGGTTGAAATTTTGGCTTTAATTGACATTAAACCACTTTAAAGTGTAACATATTTAAAAAAAAGGATAATTTAAAAACATTAATTATTTGGCGAAGGTATCGTGTAGCATACACTTCCTTTTTGCTCAAAGAAACTTATTATTTATGCCTAAAATGTTTGGCAAATCAGGTAGATCTTTTATATAATCCAGTTGTAATGATTTACTTATTGATTGATTTACTCTTCTTTTTAACCCCCGACGCAAGAAGAGGGGTGTTATAAGTTTAATGTGTGTATCTGTATATGTTTGTGACATCGTAGCGACGAAACAGATGAACAGATTTAATTTTATTTTGATTTTTCTTAAAAGGTGATTGATCGAGAATGTTCTTAGCTTTAAATCAAGAAAATCCGTTCCGCCGTTTGCAGGATATCAGTTTTTTTATACCATAAAAGGAAATGAGTAATTTCCACAGATTTGATCCATTCGAAAGTTGGTATCCCGTTACGTCAATGACATTGCTATGATATGGTAACCTTGGCCTGATGCTGCTGAAAATTCTGCAGAGATATTGTGTTTGGGCTCATTAAAGTGGCCTCAATTAATAGGTTTTGTGTTGTTTTTTTTAGTTTTTAATGTAATTTCTTCTAAAAACTTTGTATAAGTTATCAGAGTGTACCTATTATGTAAGTAATTTTTATATATAACGTAAGTAATTTGGAACCAGCCTAATTGCACTTGAACTATTTGGTCTAAGTCTCCAGACCCAAATAATATTAATTTAATACAAATCGTATGATATAGCTCCATTATTACCTGAAGGAACGAGTAATTTATAAACTGCCTCGGTGGTGTAGTGGCTAGCAGGTACGGCTGCACACCCGGGGGTCCTGGGTTCGAGTCCCGGGTCGGGCCAAGTTTAGTTATTGAGTCTTTTTGTATAGTAAGCCTCAGTAACAGCCCGGAGTTGGGAAGCTGGCGGTGTTTCACGCCCGTGCTTCGAAGAATCGGTCCTGCGCCTTAACTCTCACCGGTCGTGTCGAGCATTCATCCCACCGGAGTATGAGAGAGACGGGAATAGAGAGTGCATTTGTGTCTGCGCGTACACTTGTGCACTATAATATCTCCTGCGCAGTTGGCTAGTCTCAATGAGATTGGACGCCGTGACCGGAATCGGTCAGGAGAACATCACGTCAATTTATAATCTTTCCTGAATTAAAGTCCGCTTTTGACAAATAAACAATAGGATGTAATAAAAAACTTTCAATAAATACGCAATTGTTTTCTTTGATTGCCTTGCTCAGTCTGGCGATGGTCTGCAGCTACACTTATTGTTATGAAACGATTAATTAAAGCTCACATTCCATACGTACCAGTTGAACTCAAAGGGAAAATGGCATTCAATTTTCATGTTTAATGAAATCGCTTTAGTCTGTGCTTATACATATTTTATTTTACACAATACCTATAATAAAATGAAAAACCAAGGAATACAAGAATCTAAGAATCGATTAAAAAGGTTATCGTTAATATTGTAAATGTGAAAGTAACTGTCTGTCCTTATCACGTTTAAACCGCTGAACAGATTTCGATGTAATTTGGCGAGAACATACATTGCCCCCTGGGATCGGACATAGGCTACCCTTGAACCCTGTCCCGCTTACCACGCGAAGCCGTGAGTAAAAAGTAGTAATATTATAATTTTAACTAATTCCTACAGACAAAATTCCATACTAATATTATAAATGTATAGCTCTGTTTGTTCGTTTGTTTACTTGTTACCTTTTAACGACAAACGGCTGAACCGATTTAGATGAAAATTGGTGTGGAGATAGTTTGAAATTCTGGGAAGTACATAGGATAGTTTTTACCCCTGAAATCATCCCTTCCGGAGGTAAAAATGGGGGTGGAATTTTGTATGGGGAATCAATTATTTCTCAGGTTAGAGATGTAAACTCATGATACCTATGTACATATATGTATATAGTCTTTCTATTCTATACTAACTGCCATAACGTAATTAGGGACAAATTTGAGCGGAGCGAGGGTGAGTCGCTAGTCTTTATATAAGCAAAGAAATCTTTAATCGCAACATGTTAAACATCAAAGTTCAAAATAAACGCTTTTAATAAACTTTTAACAAGACAAGCTGAAAATGACCGAATTTTTTCCAAGCACGAGGTGTTGGAGCGCTTCTATTATTAAAATACGTAAAGTAAAAACTCGAACTTTTTTATGAAAGAACGTAAAAGTTTTTATTATTTTTCAAAGATTATTCTTCTTTTCTAATGAGGAAGATTTTATCTCAGCCATACCATAAATTTCGTATAAAGCGTATAAGCTCGATCATTTTATTATTGGTTATCTGGTATGGGGGTGGCATGAAGCCAAAGATTGTAGGCGTTGCCATCATAAAACGTATAATTAAAACAATTTATTTGTTTTGTTTTTATTGGGCATACCTACAATCTATAGGTACATACTAGTATAATAAAATTCTAACTGAGTCGAATCTGTATATTAAATATTTTTTGGAAAATCTAATTGAAATAGTTATTGTTATCGATACAGAGGCCGAATCTATAAACTTTAGAATTTTTATCTGTCTGTCTGTCTGGAAACATATCACGAGAAAACCAGTAGGCAGATAGATATTGGTGAAATTTAGCTGGTTATCCGGGTCAACAGTTAGGATACTTTTTACTGCGGGAAAACATCTATACTAAACCTTAAATATAATATAGTTAAACGTTAAATATAATACTACCATTGCCTACGACTCCGCCCGCGTTCAGATGACCAAAAACCAAATTCTTAGGTTTTACATATTAGTATACAGTACATTGTAGTTTTTGTATTTTTTCTCAGAAATGAAACATTTTCAGACAGAGACAAAAATTCTAAAAACTATATATTCGGCCTCTGTATCGATAATCATGTCTATTTTGATAAGATTTAAAAAAAAAATTTAATGTACAGATTTGGCTTAGTTAGAATTTTATTATATGTATAGATGTAGCTTGGAAAAGTTTATTATATTAATAAGGAGTAATAAAAATGGTAATTATATATTAACTTTAAATTACTTCTATCGTCACATTTTATATAAGAGACATTATAATTTTATGAAGTTTCTAAAAGAACATTCATTCTTATTAGGATTTACTGTATTACTGTTTGCTTGTCATAGTTTGTTTTGTCCGTATATGTAGATACTAGGTATAAACGGAAAAAAATGTAATATTCGGAACTTCCCTACTCGAGGCAATTTTTATGTACCTAATATTCGGAACTTCCCTAGTCGCGGCATTTTTTTTAGTAGTTGATAAATTTGATAAGGAAGTTCGCAAATAAAAGTATCCATCAACTCAAAAGAACAAAAGTTAGACGATAATCGTGTTTTCATGTTTGTGGCCAAAATAGGACAAAGTTTTTGTAGGTGTGGTTAATATATTATGAACATTATATTCTATTTCAAAAGGGTTTTCGGATATCACTCCTATATAACTTACCACATACCCATACTAATATTATAAATGTGTGTGTTTGTTTGTTTGTTTGTTTGTTTGTTTGTTTGTTTGTTTGTTTGTTTGTCCTTGTTTCACGTCAAAACGGTGTGACGGATTGACGTGAATTTTTGTGTGGAGATAGTTGGAAGGCTGGAGAGTGACATAGGCTACTTTTTACCGCGGGAGATTATCTGATTCCCACGGTAAAACACGTTACGAATATTTTTTTGACTGCATTATATACAGTCAAAAAATATTTATGATCAGAATTACTTGAAACTTAGTATTAATGTTCTACGATAAAAATTATTAAATACATGTTTTAGCATTTTTCGAAATTCATCCTATAAGGGCGTAAAATAGGGGATGAAAGTTTGTATAAAACCTACCTTTTTAGAGATGTTTTTTGTAGTTTTAGCGCAATCGAAGCCGCGGGTTCTGCTAGTACTCTATATATACCTATTGACTGCTTTTATTATGTATAATCAAAAAAGTTTTATATTTGTATGTTTGTATCTCCTTTTTGCTGTAACGGCTGGACAAATTTGCATTAAATTTAGTAAACAGATAGATAATAACCTGGAGTAATACATAGGATACTGCTAGGCACATAGGGACGTACCCGAGCAGAGTGAGGGTAGGTCGCCAATACACCCACTACAATTTCAATGCTTTTAAGTTTCCTCTCAATGATTTATTCACTGTCGTTCGTTAAAACAAAATCGTATTTTTTTGCAGAAAGAAGGTTTATTGCCTGAGAGCACTACTTTTTTATTCTAATTTCCATAAATCTATTGCGAATAGCTCCCTAGAGACGCAATTTGCTACTTCTTATTAAATATATTCAATATTACAAGAGTTTCCGCCTCACGAACTTATGTAACTATTCGAATGTACTCTTATAAGAAATATTTGCTTGATATTGTTTTGGCTGCTGAAGTATGAAGTTTATTATTCATATTTAATTTTCTACGACCTTAAGTCCCAAATTACATATCTATACATATAATAAAATAGAAAGGAAGCGAAATCTGTACATGATTTTTTATATATGTTTTTTGTAAAACAAAGTCTATTATGTATAGTGTACACAATATGAACCCCAAAAGAATAGTTATTGAAATTGTAGTCTGTTTGTCTGTGTGCCTTTTACGCAAAAAGTACTAAACTGATTTTAACCAAAGTTTGTGTAGTACATACAACATAATATTTGGGTCAACCCTTAGGATACCTTTTACTAAAGGAAAATCTTTCATTCCCACTGGAAAACAATAACATTCTGTTTCGGTACTGTCAAGTCGTCTTAAGAAAACATGGCTGACGTTGGCTAAGCCTTAATACATATATCAAAACAATGTACTAGAAATCTGTAGGTCACGTATTTAATATTGTAAAATATTCGTTGCAGAAATAAGTTATAACCAAATATAAGAGTTTGAATAAATCCTACCGCAAAATCTTACTTATAACCTATTCGGAAACATAAAGCGTTTATATAAAAAAATATCTAAGAATTTTGTTGTTTTCGACGTTTCCTCAGACACGTACAGAAGTTATGACTGTACCAAAAGCTATGAACAAATATACTGTTATATTCTAACATTACTTTAGCAAAAAATAACTCAAATAATAATCTTTATCAACTCGTCTTTTTAGTGACAAAAATCTTCACGTACATATATTTAGTGTATCCGCACATTGCAGACTTTCGAATACTAAGTCTGTAATCATAAGAAGATGTAGCTCAACATTTTTTTATCTGTCGACTAAATCGATACGGACTTGACAGAACTATCGAATGGTAGTGTCTAGTGTGCGGGCGCTTTACACATTTAAGCACAATACCTGGTAATCCAGCTGTTGAACCCCTGGGAAGCTCCGGCTTGCCCCTGACTGATGGTCGACCTCCTGCTAGCCCCCCGGGCGGCACCACTGTGGACAAACAAAACATTAAACTTCCATATTACTAAGTATGAAACACTATGTAAAAGCCTTCTAATTACAGAGAAGAACATAGCTTTATATATTAAAGTGCTTTTAATTTAGGTACCTCGTATATTTTCAGATTTTTCCTATTTTATACAATAGCGGTACTTAGTATTTTGTTGATTTAATAAACTACTCGCTGTACAAACTGGAACTAATCTACTTGAACCATGTAAAAGGAAAATATGTATATTTTTTAATAATATATTATATAGCGCTATTTTGAATAATGATTTTTTAATTAAAAAAAATAATTATTCCCTACCTAACTTAGAAGGTTTAAAAAAATTAAATAAAAAAGAATTACGAAAATCGACCAGCAATCTGTGAAGATATGCAGTATCATAACATATACAATATGAATACCTCTTTTTGAAGTCGGTCAAAAAGAATATTAAAATTCCAATTTTGGCGAACGAAATTGATTTATTTAATCATTACGTTTACATAACATTTTAATTAATTCACACGATTAAATTATTCACGAATAAGGATTATGAAACGGAACGCTTTGCCCCGAAATAATCCCAAGGACTCCCCACAAAGTGAATAAATGTGAGTGGGTTTTACCCAAAAGCTAATCTGAATTGAATATTCCGTTCCATATCTATAAATATAATAAAATTCTTACTGAGTCGAATCTGTAAATTAAATATTTTTTTGGAAAATCTTATTCTATCTTCTTCTATATCTTATTGAAATTATCGATACAGAGGCCGAATCTATAGTTTTTAGAATTTTCATCTGTCTGTTTGTTTGTGAAAGAATCAAGAGAAAGCTACTGGAGAGATTATGATGAAATTTGGTATGATGATAGCTGGTCATCCGGATCAACGTATAGGATACTTTTTACTGCGGACAAACATCTCAATCAATCAATCAGCCTATCGCCGTCCACTGCTGAACAAAGGCCTCCCCCAACGAGCGCCAACCTTCCCGGTCCTAGGCTGAAAATATCTCATCTCTGAGAAATCTATACTAAACGTTAAAACGTAACTAGGAAAGAAAAGGCAGAGCGAGGGTGAGTTGTTAGTTAAGATATAAATTGATTTCTGCTTATAGCGCTTACGTAAATACTGAATATTTGGAACAACGTGAGTTGCCTAAAGTTTGGTAACCAATTTCGTGACAAAAAATATTACTGCTGTCTCTTCAAACCAACATTTCTAACTGATCCTTGAAACGTTTTCACTAAAATTGTTAGAAAATTATAATATAAAATATTAGCTCTAAAATAAATATCATACGGCAATATGGCTATCAGTAAAGTTTTTATCTTGTACACATGACAACTTAATTTATGTTTGTTTGTTGCTCATACATCATTTCTAATATATAGTTATATTTTCATGTTATAATTATTTTTCACTTACACAATATTATTATTGTTGCCATTGGTGATGTCAAATTGGCTCAATTAGTGGGCCCTGAGATAAATGATGGCTTTGAAAGCCGAATGATAAATGAAGTAAATTCGTCGTTTATATTTTTTTTCTTATTAATTAATGTCTGCCTTCCTGATTGAGTTTAGATTTATTTAATAACTTTTTTACATTTTAACGTTTAGTATAGATTTCTGATCAGAGATGTGATATTTTCCCGCATTAAAAAGTACCCTATACGTTGACCTGGATACCCAGCTATCATCAAACCCATCAAAAACAGTCCAGTAGTTTTCTCGTGACGTGGTCACAGACAGACACACAAGCAGACAGACAAACAAAAATTCTAAAAACTATAAATTCGGCCTTTGTATCGATAATAATGAATATTTCAATAAGATTTACCAAAAGATATTTAATGTACCGATTCGACTCAGAATTTTATTATATGTATAGAATATAATAACAACGCTCTCAGGCTGTATTTAGGGTCCAAATGAAACCAAAATAAATCGTTGGCTAGTTATAACCTACAAACTGATCCACTTAGCTTTTCTGGTCGTATTCTAGTCTAGTGAAACATGATATTTTTGAGCGAGAGTCTACTACATATCCTACTTCAAACGTTCTAAAACAGAAAAATAGAAAATATACCCACACAAACGCTACGGGATATTGCGAGTCGATAGCAATTGAAAGCTTTTCAACTTCCCCTTCGTTGAATTTGAGGCATCCTTTAAAATCTCTCGCATATTTTTTCCGATATTTTTAATAGATTTTTTTTAATGATCGACAAACAGAATACTATACATATATATGTGTATTTATTATTTTTCATGACTTGTTCTTATTTTAGATTTTTAATTATTGACCTTTTAAGTTGTTAGCAGGCACTTTAGGGTCCATCTTCGTGTTAAAATTGATAACTGCTATATCAAATTTTACAGTACTTCTCAAGGCTGGTAGAAGTCTCGATAAAAAATTATGTAGACTGTGTCAAATTCATAATAAAATCTTCATGTTTTATCCCAGACGAAAAACGATATGCATATTTATCTTGGACAAGCAAGTGATTTAGTAGTTCATACGTTTATTGCTGAGTAGTCGAGAGAGCGCAAGTAAATATTGAAATTTCTTCCTGTGTAAGAAAAGTTTTCTGCTTTGTCGGATACTGAATGGGACAATTTAAAACTAGTACGGAAGTAATATATTTTTATTTGGCGAAAAAGTACGCAAAAGGACTTTTAGCTGGAATATTCCTGGAATGAGTTTTCTGTACTGCGAGGTGAACTTTAGGATATATCGCCCACGCTAGCCAAATCCGGATTTCATATATTTTTTTATAAAACTTATTAGGGTCTCTCAAACATGTAGATTTCCTCGCGTTTTAATTCGCATCAAAATATTAGCAAGTGATAATCACATTGATAATGGAATTTGAACCAATTTCCCAGTATTTCCGAAGAGAGCGTGTACTTAAAAATACCTAAAGCACAGAATATATAAAATCAAAGTACCACTCATTGATTAAAAAACTGTTATTAATCTACCTGCGTGTGTTAATCGTTATATTGTTGTGTTATTAAAATCATTGTGTTAATCTACCTGCCATATTTAAAACTCATTGTTAAATATGGCAGTTAGATTTCTCCTACGCAGTAGGTATTCATTAAGAATCTATTTATAAAAAATCAATAAAGGGTTAAAAAAGGGGTTGGAGTTTATATGAAAATTCGTTATTTTCAAAGTTACAATGAACAAAATTTAAAAATAATTTTAATAAACAATGTAATATAGCGGAATATCATGCCTGAAAAGCGGAACATCAATCAATATATTTTTATACTGTTATAATTTTTTTTTATTAATCAAATATCCGCCTCCGCTTTTTTCAATCCTAAAGAAAGGTCAACTCCCACTTCATATCTATGCCACCTACTATTTCGTCTCATAGGTCATACCCTAGCTATACGTTACTGTACTAAGATGAAATTTGGCTGTGACAGACTGACAGACGTTCGTGATTGAACTTGGAAGCGATCCTTTTTATAGTATTATTTGGGGAAAGTTTTTTTAATGTAGCAACTACCTTTTTAGAGATTTAAAAACCTAAAACTACAAAATTATCTCTAAGAGATTTTTTTGTAGTTTTAGCGCAAGCGAAGTCGCTGGTTCTGCTAGTATGATATAAAAAGCTTATTTCAGTACTGCATTTTTGGCAATTATATTTTATTTTTATTTTAGATATTATTAATTTTCTTTATAAATATATATTTTCCATTATTTAATAATATTTCACCTGGTAATTTTGCGGGTTGTTTCTTGTGTTCATCCTCACTATCTTCCTCGGATGAACTTGGATCGATCATGTTGCTAGTTCTGAAACAAAAAAGTAATTATTAGTAACAGAAAAACTAAATCTTACTTGGAAAATTGTCATGTGCAGGTCCACATTATTTTCTTTACATATAATAAAATTCTGAGTCGAATCTATACATTAAATACTTTTTGGAAAATCTACTTGAAATAATCATTATTATCGATACAGAGGTTGAATCTATAGTTTTTAGAATTTTTGTCTATCTGTCTGTCTGGGAGCGCATCACGAGAAAACCATTTCCCGCGGGTTTTAAAAAAATCCCACTACTATTATACATGAGAATGTTCCTATGTATGTGGCGTGTGTTTGTATCTACATATCTATGTCACTTTGTTACTTTTTCACGTATAACGGCTAGGCGGACTTACGTAAAAAGTATACAAATAGACTATTAGCTATTTTTAACGTTGGGAAATGTATTTACGTATACCATCTCCATACAAACAGGTAGTAATGTTGGACTCACTAGCTATAAAAACAGTACTACCCACTAAAACGCAACGAAACCTTCCCCGTCTTAATGAGGTGTCGCAGGATCGCTTAGACACTTAACTACGACGCCCCGAACAGACTATGTCCTGGAGTAGCACACACAAAAGGTGGTGCTGTCTGTAAATGTAAAATTGTTCCAACAGTCTACTCTGCTATCAGAGAAGTACCAGGAGCAATCTGCATGGCACACCACCCATCGAGGTGGGTTTCCTCCCAGTACGTTTCTTGGCTTCGCCTGGCTGGATTGCCGGACGCTAATAAGACCCCCCCCCTCCCCACCACGACAAGGTGATCACATGTCGGCACACCAGTACCTAGATCACCAATAGGCAACTGAAAATAGCCTATCCTATAACTTGAGCAAAACAATTTCTATCAGATGAATAGTTCAGTTGACACAAAGTAAGCTGGGCAAGTAGATTTTGTTGATGTCAGTGAGCCGTATCAAAACCATGTATGTACGAGCCATGAATTGTGTATTTAATACTACACTTAGCCACTTTTCGCTTGCGTGCATCTCTGGATGCCTGTACTATCTACATAGCAGGTAGCGCAACCTTTTAAAAAAATTATTAGACTTATTTTATGCTTATGTATTCCTAGGTTTAATTTTTGTACTTTTTATTTAAATCCATTTGCTGTTCTAGCGAGAAAGTATAAAAAACCTACACACAATTAAACTAACTTTTGCACTATAATCCTGTACCTGAGCGATAAGAGGAAAACATATGAAAATTTCGTTTTTTCAGAAAAAACTTCTATAATATAGCTATAAATTCATAAAGCAAAACTTTATCGAAATTAAAAATTTACCACCTCTCAAGAATTTTGCAAAGTAAAGTAATCTAAACCTTGTTTCTTCTCAATAGTCAGTAGGATTTACGCCTGTAAAAATCTTGTAACACTTGTAAAAGTCTGGGCGGATTTGAATGCTGTTTTGGTCATATAAACTGGTAACGATCTTTAGATTCTATAGATATATATATAAGCGCATGTAGAGCCGCTCATAATAAGTACTACCTACACTATACAAATAAATAAAATTGAAGTGTCTGTTTGTAATATCAAAATAACAGCTTTTTACTAAATGCATATGAAAGTAGTATCATACGGTGCTTTAAAGGAAAAACAATTTTACTTTTTTTGTCTATCTGTCTGTCTGCTTGTTCCAGCTAATCTCCGAAACGACTGGCCCGATTTTGATGGGACATTCGCCGGCAGATAGCTGATGTTATAATAAGTAACTTAGACTACTTTTATTTTGAAAAAAGTATTAGAGTTTTGTGCAAAAGCGGGTTTCGCCAGTCTTAAATATAATAAAGCAATAAGTTTTGATATTTATTCTAAACTTTTTGTTAAAAAGATACTTGAGGTGGAATAAAATCCAGATAAATTAGTCTAGATGTTTTATTTTATTTTGCGCATACTTTAGTAAAAAGTTTGTTTGAGATGTTGACTTTAAGGATTTCGCGCATGTATTTTTGAGCGTAGCATATATAAAAAGTTACTATTGATAACTGAATCAAGAATATCCTCCTCTGACGTCGGTTTGTTTTATTATAGGATAATCTCCAAATATATTATACACTGAACTGTCTTTTAGTTTCTTGCCTAAAGAGAAGCAAAAAACATAACTTTTTTATTAACTTAGAATAAATTACGCTTTTTATGTAGCATTTTCGTTTCATCGAGTATCAAATCACAACGATTCTAAAGAAGTTTTACTTCAAACGTACGTTTATTGTCTATTTATGTTTTACTTTAAAGGTGATGTGAAACGTAAAAATATTCCATAAAAACACATAATACACATATAATTACGAGTATATTAGAAAGATGAAGAAAGAAGGGGTTTTCTGTGGTGATTTTGAAGTTAATAAAGTAATATTTGATATCGGTCAGATTTGAAAAACATTATTACCTACCGTTATTACCGCAATGGCTCTTAACAGTGAAGCAATTGTACTTACATAAACTCTTTTTTGTTTTACAGATGCTATGACACTTCCAAAACTAATACTACAAAGATGGAATTTTTTTTTCATTCAACCCAAAAATTTTAAATTAATTATTTATAATACTTTCTTAGATTTACGCGAATATTTGACATTTTAAATAAAACAATCTTTTCGGATTTTTTCGCGGATTTATTTTGAATCAAAAATCAAAATAAATCCGCGAAAAAACCGAAAAGATAGTTTTATTTAATTATTTATTTTAAAAATCAGTCGACCATCCTAATAACTACACACTGGGTAATGTGTAGTTATTAAGGTGGTCCACTGATCTGTCTTTTTAAGACAGTCGGATATTATAACATGTGGTCTTTGGCGTATAGATAGTGACACTGAGTTCCATATAACAAAGCAATCATCGTAGGTTTTTCTTATATAAAAACAGGACAAAACTTGTATGGAATATGAAAGAAATCCAATTTATTCTCCCCATTATAAGGCTTTTATAGTACCGGGAGTGAAGTGGTGGATGGATCATTTTTATTTTGCTTCCTATTTTCCCATTATGGTATCTTTATATAGATTTGATTTCGTAATTTCAGTTATATTTTCTCACATAGATCTTTTTCACGCTTTAAGAACTTATATGTATTTATTTGTTTATATTATATTTTAGATTTACCCTGGCTTCGCTCAGGTGTGTTCTTTAATGCGTCTATCCCAAGGGAACTGTACGTTTTTCCGGGATGATATTATTATTCCGGGATAATATATATCATTTCAAATCGGATTAGTAGTTCCTAAGATTAGCGCGTTCAAACAAACAAACAAACAAACAAACAAACAAACTCTGCCTCCTTATACTCTTAGTATGGATACGTAGGTAGCGCGCCATCTTTTGCCAAATTTTATTACTTTTTGACGAAATTTGGTAATGTGATAGCTGGTTATCCGGCTCAACATATAGGGTACTTTTTACCGCGGGAAAATATCTTATTTCTGAGAAAAATTCAAAAACTGCAATGTAAGAGTATACTAATATGTAAAACCTAAGAATTTGGTCTTTGGTCATCAGGACGCGGGCGGAGCCGCGCGCAATGCTAGTAAAGGATAAAAATAGATATTATGTAGTTTCATTGCAAGTCTCAACGCTAAAACTTGAGTCAGAAAATTGTATTTTTCTTTTCCCTTCAAACATAAAATTATTACATCAATAAATAAAGTATAAAACTAAAGCTTTAACACCTCGACTAAAACAAAGCCATTAATAAATAATTAATATAAAAAATATTTTTGGAATTATTTAATCTACCTATTTATTGAGAAAAGATTCTTATTAGTGAAGTACTTTATGTATATAAATTAACTAATAAATTTATACAAAAAAAAACTACACGAACGAAGCCGACAAAAACCAGTGTTATATATTAGTATAGAACATAGAATCAATATTTAGTAAAAATATTTTTTGAATTCAGTCTAATTCTTAAGAATATTATTAAAGAAAATAATAATTCAAGTAGCTTTTATTATCAAACTTTTGTTTTTAAAATTAATTGATTTTATTATTACTCAGCGAACATTGAAACTTCGGAATGACCAACCGTGAACTTATGATTAACGAATTGTGTATAACTGTAATATTTTAAACAACACAATATGACGTGCTCTGTATATTTTTTGTTTTTTGGTAATCTGGTAATCCAATTTTGTGTTTAAGTTTTATATAGGCTTTATAAAAATCTTTATTTGGTTTATTCAATTAAAAAAAAAAAAATCTAAAGAGATTTTGTTGCTACTATAACAAAAAATATAGTGTAATTTTAGCTGATGAGAAGAAAATATTGAAATTATATTAATATCATAGACTATAATAATCTATAAATTAATTAAAACTATAAATATGTTCTAAATACATACAAAAATACTGTGCATTATAAAAATAAAAATTAAATCTTTTCTCGAATTTCCCAATTTTCCAGGCATCTTTTCTAACTTTTCCCATAAAAAGTTAAACGGACAATTATTATTAACATTTTAAAAATAGCCGAAGTAAACTAACGAACAGCATTTCATTTTTATTTAGAACTAGTGTCTCCGCCCACATAATACTCTAATGTATATAATATCCATGTACATACATAAATTATAGCTTAAAATAAAATCTCTCTAATGTACAAGGTATATTATTGTGAAGTTTCATCCAAATCCGTTCAGTATTTTTTGTGTTAAAGAATCTAATCTAGAACAAACATATTATGTACATCCACACATCGTCATACACTTTCGCCTTTATAATATAGTCACGAATATATAGGATATAGAAGATGAAACATGCGTTAATTATTGAATAGATTTTGATAAAATTTTGATAAAATTAATAAACTGATAGACCATATTTTGAATTTCTTATCATAATGCAGTGAAAAAAACCACAAAGCAGATTTTTCATCCATTCATGTATAAGTAAAGCCATTCATATTGATATAAAATAACACAATGCATTCGGAACTAGCTTTTTCTTTTGCAATGAAGCTTTGAAAGATTCATAA